CCTGAGAATTTAGGTTCGATGAGCGACGAGCAAGGTGAAAGGTTCCATCAGGACATCAGCACCATGGAGGAGCGATATCAAGGGAGGTGGGATGAGTCTGTGATGGCAGACTATTGCTGGAACCTCATGAGGGAAGCCCCTGGTCGACCACATTCTAGACAGTCGCTGACGGCACGATTTGATGCGGATTGATCGACCCCAAACGAAATCGGACGTTTTCGGTTTTCCGAGTATATCTTGGATAAAAACTGAATTGATCAACCGATCATGCTCTGCTTGGTCATAAAATGTTCGTAAAAGCCTCCTCTACCAAAGTTTCGAGGGTAGACGGCTTCGAAGGTCCTAGTTTTTTTGTCAAGCGCTTTCCAAGAGGTCCCTCTCCCACTTTTTCCTTTGAGTTTCCGATGCCTCTAGCTCAGAGACCATTGCCACGATTCGCACCAGAACTCGGCCATGTATAGCTCTAACCGAGCTCCATCCGCCACCGACGTTTCATCGATCTAGTCCAGAGGTTCCCAAACTTTTTCTTCCGCGGAACCCCTGGTGTTCCGTGGAACCCTTCCTCATTTTTAAAATAATTCGATTGCTCTTTCCTGTCAATTGCTCTTTCCTTTCAGCTATTAACCAGACCCGAATGTTTATTGCTTAAGTCAATTCTTGCGTAAATTAGAAATGCTCATCTAGTGGGAACGTGCCTTGTGCAACGACCTTCGCAGTGTGCATTCGATGCCGATCGATGCGCCAATTAGAACGATCCCCTTCGGAATTGAGGAAGACATTTGGAATCAGGAAAAGAAGTTCCCCACAGGGCTACGACACCTAGGGCCCGTATATGACCGTACATATGGAAGCAAAACCTCGTCGCGGAACCCCGAGTTGCGCGAAGAGCAGCCCACGGAACACTGGGGTTCCGCCAAGATTTTTTCACGGAACCCCCGGAAAAGAGCGACGGAACCCCAAGGGTTCCGCGGAACCCAGTTTGGGAACCTCTGATCTAGTCCACTCAGGAGTGGAGTTAGAGAATGTTATAGACGAAAAATAGCAAAAAATCGAAAAATTGAAGTTCCAGAAAAACTGGACCTGGTGGGAAAAATCTGTTAAGAAATTCGGATTCAGTGCCCCCGATTCACCCCGAGGCAGCTATCACTTTCGTTGTAACGCGGAAAAATTTTTTTTTGGCGGGCTGTGATTGATGACTCGAGAGCAGAAGGCTTTTTGACTTCAGTTCGAATGGATCGCTCGAGAGAAGGAATACAGAGCCTCCGTAGAGTGGCGTTCCCAGGGGAGGGGGAAAAGGGAGCCGTGCCCCAACCCCCGATAGCCTAAGTTTCATAATACCTCGGTCGACTTTTGGAGCGGTATTCTTCGATTTCCTCGTCATTGATGAATTTTTCCATCGGAAAAAAGTACTGTAGTATTCCTGAAACTCCAGGCATTTTCTATAGCAGAGCTTCTCGGTGTTCTGATTCGATTCCCCTTCAGGACCTCCTGTCAAGGACGGGCTGCTCTTGGACATGGGCTTCTATTGGAGACGGGCTATCCTCGATCGGAGAATGGCTTGTACTGCTGGAAGAGGTTCCTACTGGAAGACTCAAGGTATGGATGGAGCCCATCTGTTCTATGATGTACGTGGCTCAGAATCAGCCACTCGGGCACGGCTTACTCAAGAGCAGGCCCGATACCAAATGATTCCGATTTCAAGATTTTATGTCGATGATGATGTCACTCCCTCTCTGCATCTGAAGCTCGTTCCTTGGGGAATATCTATGAAATGAACGAGGGACCGACCGCTATACGCCACGAGGAGTGGAGGGGCACGAAAAACCGACGTACTCATAAACATTTGTGTGTGTCAAGATTCGTACACGATTCGACGTGATCTATCGCTCAAGCATCCGATCATACACGTGAGTGTATGTGTCTGTCACCGTCGCTGTCCGCTACAAGCCAACACCCGTACGTGAGAAGGAGATAACATCTGGGACATGGGCCTTCCAGCATCGGCTCCCAAGGAAAACGCAGAGTCCGACTTTTTTCACACCCCTTTGAATGGAGCTTCACAAATGATTCCCTTCGATCGCGATCCCACTCATGTCTGCGTCGATGGATCAGGAATATTTTCGCAACTTCATCGGGAGCTCCCTTTCTCCCCGATCCTTCGGGGAGTGGTCTGACTGACGAATGCTCCTGCGCTGTGAGACAGAAGAAACGGTTTCCGACTTCATACATAATGTGTTTATTATATCCTCTCCTGTCGTAATCCATCTAGTTCATCTACCGTTATCCCTTTCCTTTCCGCGGGACTCCAGTTTTCTTGTCTAGAATTTCGTCGACTTCTGTGCTCTTGCACGACTTCCTCGTTTACTGTGTCATTGTGTTCATCTCCTCTGGGTAATCGTCACCGCAATTCATCTGAATTCCATGATAATATCCGTTTTTTCGACTGTCGGACGTAATAATGATCTTATTTATAATTGATAACCTCTAATCTGTGTACTTTTGTTTCCAATGTCGACGCAAATCATTCACGCTCGCCTTATCGTCCGGTTCCAATATTCGTTTCCTTCAAACTGCGCCTGTTCAGCTGTCACGGTCCGCTTCATGGCGGCTTACAATCTAATAATTTGCAGACCGTGATCCAAGATGGATCCCCTTGGAAGGCGTGTTGAGGGCATTGATTTCATCTGACGTGGACTCCAACGACGTGTCACCCTAGTCTCTTCATTGATTCCATCTTCTTTACTCACTGGACTATTTACACTTTATTATCGTCGTCGCCGTTTTCGACAGCTCCAACATAATTATTTCCATCATGATCATCCAGTCTTCGTTGAATAGATTCCACGTGAACTCCGCGCCCACATCGAATCGTTATTAGAATGCCTGGATGACAGGACGCGGCGATTATTCAGTCCCTTCCACACTCGTGAGTGATCGGCACAGTATTCAATGTTGTCTCGCGTGAGTTCAAATAATGCTTCTGCTAAAAGATGAATTCGATCCAGCCGAGTCTCCTGATCTCGTGAGGACAAACATCAAACTCTGTGTAAATCGCTTCTGATGCTACGTTACTTATAATTTCAATAGATCATCATCATCGTCGAGACCAAGTTTTGCAAACTTACTCATTAGCTTAATCACCCTCCTAATCGTCAGTTCCCGCACTCTGGCTGTGTGATCTGTGTGGGTTGTCTCCAGTGTTCACGTATTTATATTACAGGGTTCCACCTTAGCATATAGTTCCTTTCTTTTTCGAAGCTTTTTACCTTTCGTCGCGAGGACGAGATTTTCTCAGCGTTTTAGCTCATTCCCCAGACCGCGATCGTTTCGGACTTCCACTTCGAAACCCTAGACGGCATCGCGAGGGCATTTTCCGCTACTCCCTCTTCTCGGGGGACAAGTTACAATCATTCGATCGCCTCGAATATTGCCGATACCACTTGTCGATGTGAGCAGTTGAACGTCGGAAGTTTCTTTATTGATGTGGTAGTTGCCGTTTGCCCGTCTTCTCTTACGGGAGAGCGCCATCGATGTATAACGCGGAAATCGTTCGCCATCCGCCGGTTTGACTTGCAGGCTTCGAAATAGCTCGTATATCAAAGATGTTGAGTGAGAATCGTATCTGATCTAGAGAGAAGCTAGAGATGGTGATCGATTCCGTCTCCGTGGGAGACAACTCGCGTGACCTGATGCGATCCTTAACAGAAAGGATTTCCATCAAGCTTTCCGTCTGGACTACGGATACGGAGCTCGGACGTCGACGGTGTCATGTCGTCCTTCCCTCACGGTCTGATGGTTGGTCGGTGAACGCCGATTAAAATGCATGCATGTTGAAATTTCCAGTGAGATGTTATTGACTCTCAGAGAGGGCGTCCGAGGCTCGGCGATTCATCTTAAGGGAATCGTGGAAGCTATCTGGAATCGTATATTTTCGTGGTGTGTATTTCAAGGGGCTCTACCTGATTTCATGGGCCTGCGAATTCGTAATCATTTACGCGACGAGAGGGGTGTAGCGTGACTGCGTGCACGGATCGCACCCCCCGACCCGGTCATTGTGTATAACAGTCGTCTGGAGGTTGCTTCATCACTCGGTCGGTCGGTCGGCTGACGTCTCGCTACCTTCAGTATGCCCTGCTTCCTCTGCAGCTGCTGCTCGTCGGCGAGTCATTGATTTACGTCTGTGTAATCATTTGCTAAAGCGAGTCGCTTCGAACAGGTACTGTTAGGTTGTAATATCTACAGTTGGTTGTTGGTTGCTGTCGGCCGGCTTCTACCTTCTGCTCCTGCTGTCGGATAACCATTCCTCCGCCGCGTCAATATCACCCGCGCAGGCAACTGAGTAAAGTGTTTCAATAATCGTGGCCGCTATCCGGAGTCGGAGATATGATGTCCGAGTTCGAGCCCCCTCCCCGATTCCTCGCTGCTCGTAAATAAGCCTGGGCGTCGACCAAGTAGTCGATTCACCGGACGGTCGGCGACGTATCGAACCGTCTCACGCGGTCGCGAACCTCGAGCCATCTTACAGGAGGCAGCTCCCGAACTCCTCCCGTCGCCGGGAGCGCCGGGCGAGAGAGAGGTGGGGAACTCCGTTTCTCCGCTCGGCCAATGACGGGAAAACATTGGAGGACTTTAAATATGAGGGCAATAGCCGGCTTAGATTTAATCGCCGAATCTGACGAGTCGGCTCATCTCACGCCGGGTTCCTTCCGATTCGAGCCCTTGTTGAGCATATGCCGTGGGGAGAAGGAGGAGGGGGTGACGATGATTAAGTTGTTAATTGATAAGCACGCTGACTTGCGCTCTCGCTCGGCCATCAAGCCATTTCGTCGTACCGTCACCGTTTTTTTTTCGCTCCTATCGATCCGAGGGTCCAGATTGAGAGGGGAGCGAGGTAGAGACGGGCAGACGAAAACGGGACGATCACAACGGCCGAAATCGGCGGAAGGGTAGGTGACGGAAAAACAGCTTCTATGCTCGTCTGCAGCGAACTACACGCACTCCTAGACGAATACCTTGACGATCGAATCGGCTCCCGCAGACGCTATGTACGGCTTGCACGGATGGAAAGCGACGTCGTTGACAGCCTCGTCGAACTTCTTCCGATGGCTGGTGACTTCTTGGACGCAGGTTTTATTATCGAGATGCCACAATCGAATCGAGCAGTCGTGGCTGGCTGACAGCAGATACAGTCCGTGCGGATCGATCGATATCGAAGTAACGGCGTCCAGATGAGCCACCATCGAGTGGATCTGTTTTCCGGTGGCGTCGTCAAAGAACCGGATACAGCGATCTTCGTGCCCAGTGACAGTGATGCCTAACGTCGGATGGGACACCAACCGGTTGATTTGACCGCAACCCGTAGTCTCATAGCGAGTTACTGGTTTACCGGTTTCCAGATCTAACGCGACAAGATCCGAGTTGCTGTAGCCGACGACGGCCTGATGCGAATTCGTCGAGCGAATGAAGTCCACTGTCGTTGGGACCGCATCGAATTTGAACGTCTCGGACAGAGCCGGTTGATCCCCTACGCTCCACAACCGAACCGTGCTGTCCGCCGAGCAGGAGAGCAACTGTGGTCTCGAGGCGTGCATGGCCAAGCCCCAAACGGCGTCCGTATGACCCGTCAGTGTGTGAGCGAGGACCCCGGGGTCGTAGGAGTCGTAGGGATCGACGTTGCAATTGGGCAAATTCCAAACGCAGATGGTGCTATCCAAAGAGCCCGAGTAGCATCTCTCACCAGATGGATTCATTACTAACGACAGGACTGGCCCCGTGTGTCCTCGGAACGTGTACAAGGGCTCGACGTCGAGAGCGGCTGTCTTTTTCGCCGGGACAGTTTTTTTCAAGTTCCACAATTTGAGCGTGTTGTCTTCGGAGCCGGTGAGCAGAACCGCTTCCACGGGATGGAACACGAGGGCTCTCACACCGTCGAAATGGCTACGTAGAGTGTATTTGGCGTTCCACTTTTTCGGCAGGTCTTTTGATTGAGGTTCGAATTCGTTGTTGACTGTGAGTCCTGCAAGTTCCCCGAGACCGAGGGTTCCTGAAAGTGGCGACAACCGAGTTAGAGCTCGCCGACTGACTGTCTGTCATTAGCATCGCGAGACAGAGAGCTTATTCCGCCGCCAGGAGGCTGACGACAATGAAACACTGACCTTCAGGGTCTTGGGTGCACGGAGGCTGCATTTCGTCGACTCCTGGCGTCCCCATCACAACATCGTCTTCGTCTTCTTCATCGGCACCGTCGGAGCCGGGAGCTCCTTCGGCAGCCAAAAAGTCGAACGTGGCTAGAACAGAGGCTTCGGCGTCTCTGAGCACATCCACCCTTTCCTTTTTGGCCACTCGTTTCTGAGTATCGAGATTAGCCTTGCCATTCACGGCGCCTACTGCCGCGGCTGGCGTTGCCGCCGGATGTCCGTCGGTGCTCGAATGCGAAGTCTACGAAAAACAGCGACTTTTTGCTTGGAGCACTTATGCCGAATACTCGCTGAGCTGATCGGAGAGCTCAAAAAGCTTCTACTGGACCGAGGATCGCCAAATTTCCTTTAGGTAAACTCGAGCGACAAACCTGTAGACCTAGCAGTGTTTGGATCCTTGTGCTCCGAACATCGATCATCGTGTCCGTGAAGCCGATTTCCTGGAGATACTGTCTTAGGAGTTCTCTCCCCTGTTTCCAGGTGAGCACTGGCCCTGGTGCGTTCCCAGGACCCTGGAAGACGCCGAAGTTCATTTCGTCCGCCTCGAACTGTGGCGGTTTCTCCTCTTCCTCGGTCGCTTCCGTTCCACCCTTACGGAGCTTCTCGTACTTCGCTCTGGAAATCAAACGAAAATAGAATGGTAATCGTATCCAATCTAGCATGATCTGACACACACGCCAATCGCCCCGGAAATTCAAGTGACTGCCCATCTCGAACGATGAAACGTCACCCGGTCGTTCTGAATCCTGTGCCTCGACCTTTTTGACACACTGTGACGTCCCGACAAAGTATTCTCAATCGACATCGGTGAGAGAGATCGTTCTCGCTTGAAGAACTTCGTCTCGCAGATTCTCTCACCGGCAGGTATAAAAAAGTGCTCGAGTGAATTGCCCATAACCCCTCGTTTGGTGGGGATTCTGCGAAGTTCCTCGAGAGCCGATATGATTTCACAACAGGAATCGACTCCAGACACCCGAAGCGTCGACTGCGACACTTTCGGAAAGACGTCGAAATATAGGCTGCCCGACAAGCGGATCAAAACGCTCAATCGAAGCCTCTCCCTACTGATGGTGTTGCCTATGATCTCTTTCCGGTGGCCGACGCATCTCGTCAGGCTTCCTCAAGAGATCGCAATGAATGGTGAGAATTGTGGGAGTCCAGTAGGAGGATCCCGACATTTTGAAGGCTCACACCCATTACTTTCCGAAATTCCTCGAGCTCATTCTCTTGAAACGGCTCATTCATTCGGGTTGGGAACACTTCCGGCAGCATCTCGGAGATCGGTATACGACGCGGGAATCTGGACAGGAAATCACAAATCGTGCATCCGAAGAAACAAGGAGTCAGAAACGAACCTTTCTTGCCGGAGAGCGTACTCCAACATTTTGATTCTGCGAACCAGATCATTCTTCAAGCACTCCTGTCCCTTGCGTTCGCCTTGCAAGAAAGCTATTCTCGTCTGAAATTCACGCAAATCATACGTTAAAGTCATTCGTGTTCAGCGCTCCCGCACCGGTCTCGTAGATCTGTATCGAGCGGCTGTAGTGAAGAAGCTGAGGGAGTGTCGTCTGTGTTCGAACCAGCCAGCCAGCCAGCCTGGTGGCTAGCTGGCGAGCGAGCGAGCGAGTAGGGTGCTATTGAAGTGAAGACACGTCTTGGGAATGACGAGAGATCAGACGCGGGCCACTCATTGGAAACGATAAATCTCTCAGCGAATTTCCGCGACCTCGCACGCAGGAGCTCCCCGGCAGGCTGGCAGCCAGACCGGTGAGCATGCCCGCTGACACACTCGTTCGCCGAGAGCCGATCTCTCGGTGTTTCGGGCATGACAAGCTCGTCAATCGTTGTCCACACAGCGTGGAACAGATAATAATCAGTTCTGGAACGGGGTTGGTCCCGACATGAGGGCGTTCAAGCCGAGCGGACAGTCTCAATTTACAACTCGCGTCGACTACGGCGTAAAAACAGTTATTGCAACACAGTATTCTGGGGATCGCTGGACTTTGCTACGGTGGTGGTGTTGATGACAACCGGGTTCTGTGATAGCGATTGGGGCATCTCGGCTCGAGCACGACAGGCTCCGTTCCGATTGGGAAACTCATTGATTGACCGGAGTCTGATCTGTTCATCTCCGATTAAATTCGGCTGTCATTCAATGTCTGGCTTTCCAGCTACCGAAAGCAGAGGACCAGAGTGCGGGTGTGTTTGAGTGTGTGTGTGTTATTTCAAAACGAACATTTCGGCTGTTGGAAACGCTTCGCGTGTCTGTCGGCCTGTCAGGTCGCTAACTCACCTGGAGTTCTGTTCGTTCAACTTCCCATTGGGCTCTCTCGAGTTCGAACCTTCCCCACTCATGCTGTATAAAGTGTAGAATGCCTGGTATCGAGTACTGCGGCCGGCTCTGGGGGCACTCCTCCTGGGTCAGTCCAGGAGGCAGTTGCTTCGCTTCGTCCTCCATGGCGACGCGAATCTTCGGCGACAATCACTAGAGCATAGCCCCCGGCTTCCGACGTCGATCTGCGGCTTCACGACCGCTGCACCGAGACTCACAGAGACCAAAGACGTCGGAGCACAATACAGAAAAACAATATGGCCGACACCAGCACAGCAGAGCACACACACACAGTCGATCCGTCCACAAACTACTCTCGCAAAGAGACGACACAGGCCGGCGATGTGGAGAGAAGCTTCGCTCGGCCAAGCGCCGCGAGCATTTCGACGGTCGGTCCTGGCCCTCGAAAGGGATATCCTCGAAATTCGCGACGTGAACGCACGTCCGAAGAGCTGAGGCGCTCACTCTAGACGTTGGTTTGATTTTTTGCTAAAAATGGATTTCGTGGAAGCGCTCCATTGAAATAGAATCGTCGTCCTGCCGAGACCAATTAGCGCTCTCGGCTTCGAGTTCGCTTCTTCTGGACGAGGGCAGACACACTCTCATGCTGGGGAGTTGGGAGTCGTCGTCATGAGGAATACCTACCTCCCTTCGTAGAGTCCCGATCAGCCCTATGGGCGCTACATTTGAACAAGCGGTTGATATAAGAGGCGGACTTGCTAGAAGGAAACGGGACGGGCGATTTGAGGCCTTGCGTACTCCGGAGTCAGCCACCGAACGACAAACGGTTCGCCCTTGTAAAGAAACTGCGAAGATTGACGAACACCGCTGCAGAGCTCAAGGATCAAATCGACTCCTGGAAGCCGGCGAGCCGTCAACCGGGCGACTTTATTCCGACTGCAGCGCGACAGCATCTTTTCGTCGCCTCATCATTAAATATCGAAAGATGTCTCGCGTAGGCTGAAAATAATTCCGGCTGGACTTGCGCGTCGATCGCTTGGGACTCACAGGAGGCAGCATGGGGAATCTGAATAACTCAGAGTGGGCAGAAAGATTCAGACCGCGTCGGACTATCGTTAAGAGGGCTCAGAATTCTCAGGGATCGTCCGGAAGGAAAAGAAGGGAAGGCCCCATGGAAAGGATTGAGAGGAACGAAATAATTAGGAAAACTGCTCCGCTATCTGAATTCTTATATGAGCCGCTGCCGACGGTCCCTATGCGCTTTGAGAATCGCCGCGAGCCCAGGAATAGTGAACAATTGGATTTCCATTCTATTCTCGTTCGCCCATTCTCCGATGTCCTCCAAGGAATTGCTGCCGACTCCGTCTCGAGCGTCCAGAAAGCTTTTCGCTTCCGTACAAGGATACCCTCTCTTGATCCGAGGCTCCTACATTGAATTCACTAATAAGAGGCAGCGAAACCGATTCCTAGGGAAAAATGTGGGTTCAACATTTCAGTACATCCATCATGCTCAAGCAGCATTTCCGATGCGGGTTCCTGGACCTATTCAATCGGGAAGCTCGAATTTGGTGCGGCAGGCGCTTTCCGCTTTTTGCAGAATTGAAGCCTGGTCTCGGATAGGTGAATCTGAAAGACTCGAGATCTGCGGGGCTCCGCGATCAAGAGAATTCGCATTAAGACTTTCGACGGATGAACTGTCCGCCGCGCGAATCCTCATTGCTCAGCAATCTAGCAAATCATGATTCCTGTCAAACTGCTCCTCTCAGCTAGCGGCATCCGGTTTAAGTTACATGATCAAGACATAGAGAATAAGGGATCGTGACCGGGCCCCTCTTCCTCCAAATCCAGGAAATCATCGAGGTTCATTATTGTACCATCAAGGTAACAATTTATTGTTTTACTCGCTTGTCCACCCTTGAGAGGGACTTACAAAGAATGGTTTCAGCTTCTTCGTCCTGCTTGTTTCTTCTAACTGGCTCACTTTTTCTAGACTAACTTGTTCGACTGCCTGCTTCGCCATCATCATTGTATTATCCATCGTCTTCACCATCATCATCATCATTAGGTATAAGTAACATGCCAGGCTCGTTCTCCTTGGGCTTCGATACGAAACTGAATGGTTTCAGAGACGAACTCTGAGCCCCGATGAGAGCGCTAGCGGACGGGAACTGGAGGCCACTCCCGGGAGAGTGACTGATGGAACCCTGCGTACACACGGAAAGCTCTAGCCCTGGTATTCGTCTTCCGACGAGGCTGGTTGCCGTGACTGCGAAATGCAGCCACCTCTAGCGCGGCGGGAGCAGCAGCAGCCGCCGCCGCCGCTCCGCCGGACTTCGCGAAGCAGCAGGGACCGATTTTGACTAGAAGAGCGACCTCCACAAGATGCTTTGTTGCACGGACTGCATAAGTAACTGTCACCCTGACCTTGAAAACGATCCTAACGATTTACAACTTCGTTCAGTGGAAGCCGCTCCAACAATGTACGTCGACGCTGACGACGACGAATAGACCGATACCGACAAAACTGGCTCATCTATATATATTTATATATAGTTAGGTTTCTTCTGTGGCTCGCAGCTAGCTGTTAATAGTATGTAGGTTGTTCCTCCCGAGGGTATAGGTATTATGGTGAATTATCTTATTTTCTGATTGGATTTTTGAACATCTTGATCTATACGGACGGAGCGCGACCGCTCTGCAGCGGATAAACGGCAGGGGAATCGTGGTCGGACGATCAGCGTCGAAATCTAGTCGACGCCGACATCGCGGCCAGACCCCGACCTCGACGTTCGAGATCGTTCTCAAGGAAAAGACCCTGGCCGAAGGGACGGATGTATTGCTGAATTATTCAACTTCATACTCTTTTTTGTCTTATTCGAGCTTCAGTAGACAATCGGACGTTGACAAGGTTCTTTCTCACTTCTCGTTAACTCACTGACGATTCCTTCGTTTCTTGCTGCTATAAGTGAACTTCGGTTCCGCTGAGGCAAGCCGAGGCCAAGCCATGAAAAACTAGTCTGGCGAAGACAAAGCCAACGGTCTCTTCTGGAATGAGGATAGTGACCATGGTATGATCATACCATAATGTCACAATATCCGCTCGCATGCTCACTCAATAATTCAATGTCAATGAGAGATCTCGCTGTAATCACTTAACACGGCCCCGAAAATGCACAGTCTCATCCGAATACTTTTCCTCAAGCGCTTCTCTCTGTCTTGAACGCCGTGGACCGCGATCAGCAAACATCATCGAGACACCGGTGAAATCTTTCGCTGTAGACTAAAAAAATCCAGTATTCAAGATCAAATGCTTTCCTCTTCAACCTCCGATGACCCAACCCGCGACTAGCTAATCCCCCCCGTGGTAGAAAATTCAGTAGAAAATAGCAGAATTCAGAGACACCGATGTGGAACGTAAGGCCTGAGTGGGCTACTCATCGGTGATCATTCATCGTTTCTCCCAAGACCGGTCTCCTCGCGGTTCTCTGTGATTTCTACGATCCCTCAGAGGAACCACGATCTTTTATCCCTGATATACTCCTCCATTTCCGCAAATTTTTTTCTCGATGGGTTGACGGAAAATCTTATTAAAAAACGGAGATATTCAATGGCGGAGAGGAACTCATAGAGAGACAGATGTTTCGGTAAACTGATCGGTGGAAAGATACATACATAGGTGGGCACGGCTCTTGTAGATACTACATAGATCATACTTATGCTGAATTGATAGCTCGATGAATAAATTGATGGCTTGTGATGAATAAATGGATGGATTCATGGTCACACACACTGTCCGGTCTCGACTTCGCGCAAATCAAATGATCGGCGATGGATCTGTGTCTTGAAATTGTCAGAGGAGCATATGTATATGGAGAGGCCCTCACAGAAACCAAACCCACAATAACTTTTTCCTCCTCGTTCATGTTTGGGAATTCGCTCGTTGCACCAATCGGGAGCGATGACATCGGCACGACCGAACTGTTCGCCCGCTTCTCGGCCGCTTCACAGCGGGAAAAGTTCCGCTCCTCGCTCAGTATCGTTGTTGATATTCGTGATGCCACCGGTTGAAGTCGATGTAGAATACGGTAATCGAACCGTTAGACAAACCAGTAATTAGGAATCTTTGGTCGTGGGAGAGAGCGACCGAGCGCACTGCGCCTTCGCATGCCGGGAAGGCGTACAGAAGCGCGAGATTGTACGTGCGCCAAACTTCAACCACTCCGCTCTCTCCACCCGTTATCAGATATTCTCCGTCGCGGCTCAATGCGCAGCACTGGAACGAGAAAACTCACGTCACGACTAACAGAATCAGATCATGGACGAAGTCGAGTTCCGTTGTCGGAACTAGGTAATTTGAATCCTCTCCAATGCGTAAAACTCACCCCGATATCATCATGATGCGTAACGTCCCTGAGTTGCTTGCCGTTCATGTTGAATGTGCAAACATTGCTGAGATCGTAGCAAACCACCATGGTTCCCTCTCGCGACAGGCAACAAAGATGAGGACTCTTGAAGTGTTCCGGACCCTGCACAGAGCGTAACAGATCTCCCGCGGTCGTATGGACGAGCACAGCGCCCGATCTCGAACCGCTCACCACGAGACCCAGTTCTGCTGATACCACGATGCATGTGATTTCACTTTCGTGGCCGGTCAAGGACGCTCGTGGGGTCGGCACGTCTGAAGGGGGAACGAAAAAATGATTGCGAATTAAGGATCGCGGGAATGAGACCTGCGAGGAACCCACGAAGGATGTCGGAGAGTCGCTTACCGGGATTGGCGTTGTCGCCAGCAATCGATTGGGTGCGGGCGTTCCAGTGCCAAAGGAGCACCGTACAATCCTCCGAGCCCGAGGCGACATAACAGTCCGATGTGATGTTGCACTCAGACCTCGCCAAACACGTGACAACACCGAAGTGCGCGTAGATAATCTGCACGGTCTTCGCGGACTCAGTTGAGAACACTCGGAAGGATTTATCCCAGAAGCCGGCCGCAATGATGAAGCGCGAATCGACCGTCGTGACGAAGCACGACGGCCGCATTCTGAGCTGTTGCGAAAAGTCCGCGTCGCCCAGATGACGCTTGTGCGGCGAGACATTCATCACTGGAACGATTGACGAAGAGCCGTCCCTGAGTAATTTGAGCCACTATCCCATCGTCGACGTATGGAAATTCTTCAAAAACAAATCGGTAACAAAGCGTCCCGGAAGACTCGAGACTCACTCAGTAGCGGGTCCATCGATAGTGGCAGGACCTGGTTCTGCTGGGACGGTCCTCCGCTCTGGGACGACACATCGTGATGATACCCTGCAGCTGCAGCGCCGCCGGCATGCAGCGGTGTGTTGAAGTTGGGATTCCACCGATTGACTGCGAAGTTGTGATTTGCCGCGACCGTCACCACGGACGGCGTCGGTAGCTGCGGGTAGGTATTGGCCGAAATGTGGACGATCGGAGAATTCGACAGGAACTTTATCACCATACAGACTTCGTCGGCCACCGGCGAGAACATCAACGGACTGATGTGCATCGCCGAACTCCTCGGCGGATGTGGTTCGAGCAGGAGCTGCGATGGCGTCATACCAAAGTTTTTGATTTGGTTTTCAACGGCCTCCCTCATTACGGGATCCTTGATATTTTCGAGATCCACCGTGCCTTCGTAGGTCAAGTAATAGAACACATTCGTACTTCGTACTGCTTCAGGCCCCCGTTGCTTATAGCCGAAAATTAAATCGATCCACTGATGGAGTTGGCACGAGACAATCTCTGACTCCAAAGCCATACGATGGATGCGGACAAACTCCTCTGCCGAGTCGTTTGCCCATGGGGGCAGCTCTACATCACCAACTACGTGGCCGTCGTCCCGTTTACCCAAACTGAACGAGTTCTGATTGAGGAACATCTCGGGTAAATAGAAGAATTCCGGAATTAGTTCCTTTACGTCGGACGTATCTCTCTGACAGTTTTTCCATGACTGGGCCACGGACGAGAAGAGTCGATCGGGATGATCGAATCGGCCGTCTTGCAACGCGATTAGCATCGTCGTGAACGGCTCAAGGCGGAAGAGCCACTTCAAAGTAAATGTCGCCGTTGAATAATGTGTGCCATAGTGGAACGGAGGTATAATATCATGCTCCCAAGACTCGTAGCGCTCTTCGAAAAACTGTTTACGGGACGGATTCAGAGCGCCAATAGGCTTGGACAGATCTCTGTAGTTCGACGGAAGGCTGACATCAAGTTCTGCGCTTTCGTAGTTTGTCAGCACCCACGGAAAAACTGGATACTGATTCAAATCACTGTACGTTCGACCGGCGATAGTGTTCAAGAACATAAGGTATTCAAAGTTGGAGATCTCTCGTCGTTGCCATTTCTGCGTCATGTTGCTCTGTTGGAAGATCTGACGCGGCGTCATCAACGAAGCCCTTCGGGTTTGTCCGATGCCGTACTTGATTCCCACTCCCACTTGAGGGAGGGCCTTGACAACTTTTTTCACTGTTTTCTGACTGTCGAATGCGAACATTATCGATGCTGAAACGAACGAGGAAGACAATGCTTAATCAATCGTTCCAGTCACAAGACAGAACCGGGTCAATTCGAGCTGAAGATTTTGATCGCTCCCTCTCTCCGCACTCACTTCTCGATGCGAGGAATATCTCGAGAGCAACATTCTGAAGCAGGTAGCGGCGCGAAAATACGGCCCTGATTTCGCTGAAGTGCCACTTGCCATGAATATGCTCACAATACTTCAGGACCTGCGAGGGAAAAATCACAGTCGTCATTCATCGCTTGGAGGATCACACGACTACCACACATCTATCATTCGTCAATGATGAATCATCATTTATCATTAGTTCCTGTTCCCTGAAACTCTAATCTGTGAGCTGCTTTCTGGATCTCCCTCCGTGCCCACCAATTATTCAACTCACGTTGGGACAGTTCTTCTTGAATTCGGTGTCCTCCTCGTCAACTTCGAAGAAGAGTTCGGACTGCGTTACAGACAAGGTGCCCGGAGCAGTTATGCCTGGAGCGATGAGACGACATCGAGTGCTCAGACTTACACTGCCGGCGAACTCGGAGTCCAACTCCTTATCTTCCCAGTACTCGGACTCGCCAGCCGCGAGCTCGCTACCCGGGGATCCGGTCTGTCTTCTTTGTTGAGCAAGTTGCTTGTGGATCTCTTCACGAGCCGCAGCGATGGCGTCGTCAGGAGCGCCGTTCTCCTCAGCGGCTTTGAGAGTTGCTTCACGATGTGTCGAGCCTAGCGGATTCCGCACGAATCGCCTTCGTCGTCGAGCGTCATCTTCCCAACTGTCGAGCTTGAGGTGGTCGATCTTGTTCTCGACGATGGTGGCTGTGTTCGCCTTGTGGGAACAATTGCGTTTTCTCCAGGCACCGTGTCGGTTGGTGAGCATGTTGTAGACTTTGTCGATCATTCGTTGCGCCACTACGCCGTCTCGCCTCCTGGCCGCCGTGATCAGATGGTCGCACATGCTCTCTTCGTCCCTGCGCTCAGCCGCGGTTTGGCCGCATAGCTGCTCGAAGTCGGCGTGCTTGATGACATCGTCCGCGCGCATTCTGTTCAGTATGAAATCAGCTTCGTTGGCCACACGCACGATGTGATCTTTCATCGCGTGCGAGAGAAGCCGTCCTTCGTTGATTAATTCAATAAATGCCAAGCCAGCATGTTTCTGCAAGGAATTTTGCCATTCCTGCGAGCACAAAAGCATCACTAGTTCGACCACTGACGTCGAGTTCTTGAACGTGTTCAAGCCTTTGCCCTCGACCAGCAGGTCTTGACCGTGGGATCCCACCAGCGTTTTTGAGAGGAACTGGGCGAAGTCGACCATGATCTCCCGCAGCAGAGGGCACACGCCGCATAGGGCGGTTTCCAGCTTCTGCGTGAGAGTGGCTTCCCGGGATTCTCCGTTCCGGGAATCCGACGTGCTCTTGTTCGATCCGTTGTACGCATCGTCTGGGAAGAAATAATCACATCGTGAGAGACATTCCCGAGCGTGGGACTATTCTGGAATTTGTTTCGCGAGCAGAAAAATTTTCGCTCACCGAAGACGGCTGGGAAAAGTGATTTATGGGGACTCGATGCAGTAAGAAAAACTCACCACTGGCGGAGATGTGTGAGCTCTGCTGGTGGCAATGTGAATGCGCGGACGGGTTGCCCTGATTCATATGCTGCGCGGGTATGATGGGAATACTTGAAGAGTGCAGATTTGCTAGAATATCCGAATCCTCCTCAGGCGAATTCTGTTGGCCCGTTTGCGGCTGGCAACTGTTGTTCGACGTCGTCGACGCGGCTTGTCCAGTCGGCCCGTAACGGCCGTTCTCGCAACGTTCTCTTCGCTCGGTATGCGGACTAGCGGGTTCTATAATATCGCGGTATTTGGACACCATCAGAACGGAGATGAAGTAGACCACAGCTAAAGCCAAAAACTGAGCTTGTTTCGTCTCGTCATCTCTGTAAATGACAGCTCGGAGTCTGTTAACGTCCATGTCTTGCAGGAGTTTCTCAGGGTCCTTGATTTGCATCAGAGTCCCGCTGAGATCGTTCCGCATTCGTTGCAAAGCGCTGGCCATGCTCGGATGTTGATGATGGGCTGTCTGCTGATGGTGGCCGTGCCCGCTTTGCGACGGAGGGATTTTCACCCGTCCATCGAGACAGGTCCGAACGGCGTTGGTGCAAACCAACCGCAGACACTGCCGAAGTATTCCGCCTGACGCCATGTTTTTCTCCGACTCGAGTTCAGAGAACGATAGCGACGAGGCGAACACCAGCACGTCGGCCAGGTGCACCAGACGCTGTAAGAAGGCAAAGCTCATCTCCGACGATAGCCCTTGCGTAGGTTCCACCACTTCGAGTTCATGCTGGAATTCGGGACGGGAGCGTTAGTTCATACGAATCGATCCCATCGAAGTATCTGAGTGAGATTCGACTGAATCGGATTGAAGGATTCTCTCCTCGCTGACCCTGACAGCTGAACTCACCGTTGGAGATGTGGCAGCGGCCAGGAGTGGAAGAAGACCTCCGCAGGCTATTACAATATTATCGGAGAGCTGCGATATTAAATGGACCGTATTCACGACAAATATTGCATTTTCTGAAGAATTAACGAAGTCCATGATGGTCTTCGTGGAATGCGATCTCCACAGTTGAATGTCAGTCTCGAGGGAGTAGAGCAGGTCCGAGAGCAATCGTTGGTGGATTGCCGACCAGCGGAATTCGGGTATGCGGAACGGGGGTCTCGAGGGTCCGCTGTTGAACATTTGCCTGCGAAGGTGGCACAGAGCGATCTTAATTGCTCATTGAGGTTAACAATAGATATTCAGTAGGATTCCTTCCCGGCAGAAGTTTCTTCCTTCTTTCGCCTTCGCATGGAATTCTTCCCCATGATCCCACATCCGTCCTACCTTGAGGAGTTCTGCGAGCCGTTGTCACGAGTCCCGGCAGCGCTGGGGTTCGGGTAGATGTTCTCATAGGTGTCAGCGCTTGCGAAAGACACGCTCTTCGGTCTCGACTTGTTCGAAGAGTCCTCGGAAAGTTCTTCCTGTTCTGCTCCCTTTGCGTCGACGTTATTCTGATCCATGTCTCGCACCCTTATCTTGTACGACGTCTGCTGAATCTGGGCTTCGATGGTGGACACAACTTGCTCTTGATTACTGCATTCAGATCGTTCCGCTTGTTCTGCGGCCTCTGCCTCTGGATTGGCCACATTCTCGATCGACTGGGTTTCTTTGGGAGTTGCGGCGGCTTCCTTGTTGCAAACACCGACTTTATCCGGTGAGTTCTGAGATGAATCTCCTTCTTTGATTTCAACAACATCGGTCGACTGCGGCTGCGGCTGATTTTTGGCGTTCAGTTCGGCCGCCTGCGAATTCAATGCGATTTCGAATTAATTTTGATGACTGTCACGATGTCGCCCCCGGATGGGTCGTATTCCCCCGCTCGCTAATGGAAGAGCCAGCGCGGGATCAGCCCGCGGCCAGACGATTGATCGTAGAAGGCGGAGGCGACTTACTTTTTTCTCTAGCAGAGGTGATAGCGGCATACTTGAAGACTCGATCGTATCACAAGGTAATTCGGTCACTAGCGTGGCGTCAATCGGAATTTCCTTTTCCCCTTCGGTCTCGTGTTTCTCTCGTTCATCGTCATCTGGTTGTTGCTGATGATGCTGTTGTTGCTGCTGCTGCTCCTGAACGTCGGATCCGGAGACTTGCGAGGTTTGAGATGGCGCCGGCGACTCGATCGCCGGGCAATCTATGATTTGGGGTGAGGCGCAGTCCTCGTCGTCCTCGAGATTAATTTCCTCAATTTTCTTCTCAATTTCCGAGTCTTCATTGTGCTCGCCGGCACTGACGCTAGACGTTTCGGTGGCGTCCTGGATCGAGGTCAATACGACGTCCTCGACGCACTCCTCCCGAGCGTTCTCGACCGACGCTCTGCTGACGGGCTCAGCAGCCGGAAGCCCGAGTTCGGTTGAAAGCTGTGAAAGGATTGGCTTAGCTCCCGTTTGAGGCTTGGACTCGCTTAGCGGTTTCTAATTCGACAGAACGGATCGCAGACTTCCCGAGCACGTTGAGAAGTCGCACGTACCTTTTCAATTGTCTGTTTCTGTGGAGAATCCGTCGCGCTTGCTGGAGACGTCTTCTCCGACCTAGGCCCGATTGCGTCGATCGCTGCGCTCGAAGAAGCCGGCGAGGACGCGGTGTTTTCATGGCTCTCGTCCTTCGTTTCTTTCGTAGCCGTAGCATCACCCGCTTCTTGGCCTCTGTCGTCGGCTTGTAGCTCTTTCTCAGTTCCGTCATCCGATTTTTCCTCGATCGTCTCCTGAGAGCTCGACGCGCAGACGACTCGCCCATCTTCGGTGATAACTACTTGTTCGACTCGCAACGGTCCGGTGATCTCTCGTTTCTCCGGCGTTGAGGTCGCGGAAAGCTCTTGGTAATGTTCTTGCGAAAGCGACGTGGGAGAGGAACAGGTGCCAGGAACAGGCGGGGGACAAGAGGGAATGTTCGTGCTACTTTGGTCTTCGGTCTCGGAGACGAGCTTCGTGGAACTTGCCGGTTCGACCCGCGGCACGTCGGCAGCTTCTACGACGTCTTCCGCAAGACCCGGAGCAGCGGGATGCTGCGATGGCGTAGTTGCTGACAGTACGGCTCCCAACGAACGGTTGGTTTCGTTCGTTGCGTTCGGACCCAAGACAGGGAGACTGTTCTCGGGCGGAGGCGGTGTTTCGTGCAGCATCTGCGCATAGTGCAGTTGATATTCTTCGAATGCTACGCGCGAGTGCACGATCGCGAGGGTGTCCACCCAGACTCTCCATCCGCCGTACTCGAATTTTATTGCGTGATGGAGCAGCGTACGGAACAGGGCGAACACCGTTTCTGAAATCCTCCTCTGTTCCTGATCCTGAGGATGCACGTATGCCAGGGCGATCAGCCATTCCTGCCATACCGACATCTGCAGGACTGTCCTGCGGTTCTCGCGCGTGGCGTTGCACAACAGGCTTAGGTCAGAGAGAAACAATCTTTTCACTTCCATCAACTCATCGCATGGTTTCGACTGACGGAAAAGGCTTGCGACTACTTTAAGGACCACTGTGGAAGGAAAAGGAACGTCAGTGGAAAGTTCATCGGCCCGGAAATCGTAGGGTCCGCGGATTCGAGAGGAACTCGGCTTAATCAACGTAAATTCAGCCTCTAGAAGTCAAAAATGACGTCTGCTCCAGAGAGAGAGCTGGAATTTCCCTTGTCATCATTTTTACAAAAAAAACACGTATTTCTAATCCTGGGCTCACTCACTTGGATTCTCCAAACGGAAATGATGTTCAGGCTCAGCATGTGGGGTGTAGAGAATATGGGCGCCGATGTGTTCGGTCAACATTTCATAAAGTACGTTATAGGTGGCGAGCGTCAGATGATCCGCATGCATGAGCAGTTTGTCAACGAGCAGCATGTATAGATTGTGTGGACTCATGACGTCGTGTTTACGCTTGTGCGTGCTGCGGCTGAGGAAAAACGCCAACAGTTTGAGAGCCTGCAGTCGAACCGTTTCGGACGGTGATCCCAGAAGCTTGAATACGGCGCGGACACCGGCCCTGCAATCGAATGCGGGGACCATTGTGGCCGGCTGTTCTGCCATGAGTCCAATCATCATTTGTAGAACGTCGTGGAGATTGTCGTCTTCGTGGACTGTGGTCAGGTAGTTTAGGCAACTCTGTAGTTCGTCTTCCTTGGGACCGGATCCTTTAACAATGAGCTGTCTGAGGAACAGCAAGAGATACGCTCGAATGGACAGAATTTCCGGCGGTGCCGGTCTCGGGCCATCGGTGCCCTTCGGAACGATTCCGCTCTTCTCGGTGGGATTCGCAACCCAGTAGTAATATTTGAGAATGTGCATCGTCTGCAGAACGGTGGAAACCCTGCGGACGTTCCCGTAGATCTGCGTGTCGGCCAGGAATTCCGTTGCGAGGTAGGAGTAGAGTCGGATCTGAATCGGTGTTGGAGTATAGATCCAGAGGGCGGGGTTGAACAATATGTGGTCCAGCAGGTGTTTGAGCAGAAGTTCTCCGTTTGGCGTGGATAGCGTCATCAGGTGTCGAGCGAGCGAGAGGAACGAGTTCAGAACATTTTCATTCAGGTGTTGTCGTGATGCTTTCTGTAGCTGTTGAGAAATCACCAGGAATCCCTTGTTCTGAATCATGTGCTGTTGCACAGCGGTGCTCCCTTCGCACATTTCGCAGATGAATCCGATCAGGGTGGCGCTGCAGATAGAACTCCGATTAGAATCCACAGCGGCAATCCATCGAGTGGATGACGACAACAGTCAGTCATCCAGGTAAAGGTTCGGGGTTGAACAGACAACGGGAATTGAAGCGAAAAAAAAGGGACAGAAAGACCGCAAATTCGCAACCCACCATATTCCGTTACTCTTGTTGGGGTCGGATTCAAGACCCACGACGGGTAAGTCGAGTTGCCCGAGCAGAGGGAACAACATCTGTAGCCCCCCGATGGAGTTGAGAGTCGAGTGAATCCCATGGGTGGAAATCGCCCGAACTTCGTGGAGCATGAGCGCGTGTGGATTGTGTACGAAGAACGAGCTGTTGTGATTTTTCGGTGCGGCCTGCAGACAGAGCTGGCTGTCCGTGGCCACCGGATTATAGCAGAAGAGTATGGCCGAAGCCAACTTCCCGTCGTAGAGAACACGCTTGAGGGATTCCGACAGCGTGAGCGTTTCCCCCTCGAAGCGGAATTGTGACTGATAACCCGGTCCGAGTCGATGGATTCCGCAGACCTGGTGCGTCGTTAGCGCTTCGGAGAATACGTACACGGCTGACATTTGACCAGAGAATAGATGTTCCTCGTCGAGCTCGGGCAATGCGCCGATGCAGCATTTGTCGAACGGGTCATTTGTGCTGACTAACCAGCTCATCTCTGTGGCAGAGGCCAACTGGCCATTGACAAAGCATTTGATCTCACTCTTACTCCACCGATTATAAATATACACCACGGCGAGCATATACCATCGCCGTGGTTGGAACTCGTATTTGACGCAGTGCTGGTACCCCTTGCCCTGAGGGGGAGACAATAATATTTAGAGAATATTTATTTTGCGAAATTCGAATCCTGAATACCGCTCGACTCAATATCCTGCTTGGATACGTGAACGAGAATATACACAAGGAGAACGCATCGAGATCGTAGCGGATTGGGCGATCGAGATCGAATCGTGAGAGACCTACGTACCTTGACTTTCATTGAGGTGAAGATGAGACAGTTGCCAACAAAATGAGCCGAGTAGCCGACCCCCTTGGCGGTGCGGAAACAGTAAAGATAAGGTTTCTCACGCTCGATGGAGACCGAGTTCACAGGGTCAAGTCGAAACCAAGTACAGAGGGTCCAGCCATTCTGGTAGGGCCAACGCGACAGCGGCGGCAACGCGATCGCCGAGCCCTGGACAAACAGAAAACGTGAGAAGACCCTCTTTTTACAGGGGACTATGTAGCGGAAGACGGATCTAAGAAGTCAAAGGGCTCTATTGGTATCTGAAATAGACATTGAGCGAGGTCCTTGCCTTTTTTCCGGAGAAGCTGAAGAAGGTATCCGGTCCGGTCCGATGAGGCAGAGCCCGGAGCACAGAGAGCAGCCGCACCGAGTGAGGTCCCCACGAGCTGTCCTTAGCTTTCAAGTAGCCCACGAGCAATTTGAGCTCGCGCACTGTGATCGAATAGCTTGCAAGCACGCCTAGTACTTCAATTACTAGGTCTGAAACAGGCCGAGACGGCACGGGTGAAATCTCACGCTATCGAGTCGAGTTCAGCCGAATGTTTGGCACACGGCGCAGGATTTCAATTCGAAAAGGATCGCATTTCAAGAGGGGTTTCTCACCTGCGACAACCTGATCGACGTTACTCATCCGTGCAAGGATCTGCTCGATGAGGCTGACCTCGGTACAAGCTTGGAGGTTTCGGACGCTCTTCTTCAGAATTGCGCAGAGAACACTCCACAGTTCAGCCTTCCATGAAAAAAGGAACAACCCTCTCTAAAATCTCTGATACAATGCCCGAGGGCCCCCAGCTGATTTATTTGGCTTGATCGGATTAGGATTCTTTGTACGTTCCAAGCCTTATCCCAAATCGTTACAGGAATCGAACGTAGATACCCAGGTCAGTGGGGAGCATGTAGTTTCAACTCACCTGCAGTTGAGTGGAGCTATGGTCCAATAAGTCTAACATATATATTATATTTTTTGGATGATTAATTACAAAGTTCAGTTCCATATCAAACTCCCCACCCACGAGCTGGAAAGACAGAAAGCAAACTATTAGTTTTTTGGGAAAGGATCCGGAACCTGGAAACATGCGCTTGTTCTCGACGTTTGGATCTCATCTAATCCTATAGATCTGTGGAGAGTCTTATTTTCCAGAAGTCGATCGCAATTTCCCCCCTCCATGGAAGTGCCCTCCCTGAGCCAGGGCAAGCAGTCAGCGGAGACTGGCATAATGAGCTTAACGGAATGTTCCCTTTCATCGCCCGGGTACGGCTCCCGATGAATGAAATTTCAACTCGTGACCTCGGTACCCTCCGCTGAGCTAGGGAACTGAATATCTCCACAGGAACTACGGGAAGGGAAGTAATTTCTCGGCTAGCTTGAGAGAGAGAGTAGTCGGTAATGAATTTTCCTTGTGAATTTCAGGCCCTTCCCGCGGCGATCCATAAAAACACAAGCATCCAATTACTCAAATGGACCGTATGGCCTCATGTTAAACGCTCGTTTCAAGGCTTTCGTCTGTGGTCGACCTACGAGGCTTCAGCCGGTTTCGGAAAAGAAGTTATCTCCAACGCATCCATTCGTGGCAATGTCAGAAGAGGTGCGAGTGGCTCGCCGTATTCTCTGTGTGAAGTCCATGGAGGAATTCAGATATCTCTCCGAATTCCGGACATCTCCTGATGCGTGATGGAAGGACTTTTCTCGCGCCTACTTAGTATTCGCCAAAGACTAACGTTGATAAGGGGTTTCCCGGCGCTCCTCCGCTCGAACGATACACGGATACCTCTGGTGTGAGTTATAGCTACGAGCGGTAAACAAGGGAATGCAACATGCAGCATTGAATCCTGACCGGATCGCTCTCGTGTCAAGGAGCGAACGCGTTCCGATGAATCAAGAGGTCGGGCATGAATCCACGAAAGAATTGCCAGCCGTGACGATCAACTTTGAATTTCTGCTCGAGATCTATGAGCACTTTCCTTGGGAGCGGTGTGAGGCTCTGACTGACTGAGTGAGGGCATGCGTTCCTGATTGTTGATCGATCAGATTCCCGGGTTCACAAAAGTTACGGGGCTGGGATCTCGCGTCCCTCCCGAGAACTCCCTATACCAAATTCGACGCTGTGTCGTAAATTGCGGACCCGTAAAATGAGTTTGCTCGGAAGTTGAATTAATCATTCATCATTGCGGCTCAGGCAGACTTCGCTCTCGCCACGAACACCGCAGCCCCAGCTTGCTTAGAACCATGCGAAAAGAAGGCAGTAAGTGGAGCGCAGCCTGCAGCCAGAATCGTAAACAGCAATCACGCTCAGGACTGTCACAACACTCCCTTCTTGATCAATTTGGTTCCCCGCTCAGTAGCGGACCCGACGACCTTTCGCGCAATATGAATTCGACCCATGACTCGATTTCCATGGACGATGACATTGAATTCTCTAAATCTCGACAGTTTCACAATGACTCATAATAGCTTTCGAGTTCATGAGGAACTGCAGTTCGATCATTTCGAGGCCGATGGTCGGCGATTAAACCTGGCTGCACCGCGCTGTAGGAAATTCTGAACCTTCTGCTGACTCATCCATACCACGGCGACTCTATTCAGGTGGGCCCATGGAGGCCAACAATTATTAGCGACTGCATCGGTCAGGGGGCAGCACCCTTAATTGATTATTATTATTATTATTATACATCGATTAAGAGAATGAATGCGTCTCATGGAAATGAGCAGAGATTGAAGAACTGATCGCGCACCGCCCGTAGTCAATGTCTGCGGAAGCTCCTCGAGCGGCTCTGATCAATGTTTTTCCTTTCGAGCTAGCGTAGGTGGTAACCATCACAGACAGAAAAGTAGGGGCCCAACGAATCAGAAATTCCCGCACACGTTAGTCCGCATCTCACGTGACGCCAGTACGAACATCTGCTGGGGCCGGGACCGTTCCGCGTTGAGACATCCGCTCGAGTCAGTGGCAGTGGCACTCAATGTGTTAAAATTGGAAACGACAGACGACATGAGGAGCCGTGAGGGAAAATTCTCGCTGTTCAGCCTATCCGCGCACCCCGCAGCTATGACACACGTGACTCACTTCAAACATCGGCCGGCCGTGAGCCGACGGTAGAGTCAGTCTCTGTCAGTCAGTCAGTCAGAGAAGAAACCGACCAAGCAAGCATCTACCCAAAGTGACGCTAAGCGCGATCTGACGACTCAGTTACGAGCGTCTCCAGGGAGCTGGCCTTTGTTCTATTGATTCTTCGGGGCACTCCGAGCGGAACAATATAAATACGGGACAACGACGCACGTCTCCAGAGAGTGTACATACCAGGTGGAGCACGGTGTGCACAATGTCCTTGCCCGCCTGTTCGGGGGTGGCCTGGAGGAGCCCGATGAGCATAGTGAACTTGAGCTTGTCGCTCTGTCCCGTCACGCGAAGCACGTCTTCAGGTCGCCGCAGTGCCGGCATCGTCGACGACGGCTGTGGGCTTTGTTGTACGGCAAGCGGCCCCGTAGAAGTCGGAGTACTCGTAGCGGTCGGGGTGCTCGCGATGGGGGCTGCGGCGCCGGGGTCCATGGCTGGTTCAGCAGCAGGGCTCAGCTCATCGGGACGGGGGTGGCCTGACGATAGGGCCGACGGCTACCGGTCCAGACCAGCGTGAGCAACAGCAGGAGCCAGCTAGGCTCAGCACAGCACCACTCACAGGGAGGGACGACGACAACAGCAGACACACTCTCTACTACACCTCCACCATATTTACCAAAAACAGATGACAGTCTGTCGTTCCAGTGGAGCGCGTAGTGGCCGCGAATCCGCTCTTGCACCCGGAAGTCGAGTCGCCGTCGAAGCAGAAGCAGCCTGAGGCCCGCTGCCAAGCCGGTCGTTTTCCTCCGCGCGGGATTTTTCGAATAGAGCCAGCGTCGAATGAAATTCACGTTCGTTTGGACATGAATTCTCAAAACATTCGTTCAGTTGGATGGGACCTCGAGAGCTGATGCTAGCTGACGACCCCTGGTACGAACCATGGGTCCGCACTTCCGGGTGCTGGGGTGCCGGTAGCTCCGGCTACGGTCGGAGTCCTTGCCAAGGAGTGTCCCACTCCTTCAATCCTCGATTGGCTTCACCTCACACAGCGCCCTCTGGTTCCTTGTACGACGAGGCCTGACTGCCTCCTTGACTCCTGGAGGGAAGCGTAGACCGTAGACTCACTGGCGCCCTCGTATTTCTCGATCACGAGACCACGTAGGCGACAGAGAGGCTTCAATGCCAGACGTGACGGTTTTTCGAGACGAACTTCAATTAGAGAACCGAGTGGAGTTCCTACAGGGACACTCGGAGCACCAAAGAGAGATCTCCCCGGGAGGCGGCGGCGAGCGGGGAGTGAGAAGACCGGGTTGGAAGTCTTTGAGGGAGCGCTCCGAGTGTATGGGGTAATTTTAGAGAAACGCCTCGTTGCAATTCACCGAGCGCTCATCTCGGTGCGGAGGCGCATTCGGGAATCGCATAAGGGACAAATGTCCTCCGAACCGATTCCCGTCGGATTCACTTTCAATTTTGATTCGATTCGCTGCCCGAAAGGAATTTCGGGAGAAGCATCGATGATAATTTCGGAGGTTTTCTGATTGGTTTTGGGTCATTTTCGTTGGCATCTACGTCCTTCGGCATCGTGAAGAAAGCTTCTCGATGGAACTCACGCTCCGCCCGACACAAATGAGAAGAGACCCGGATGACAGGGCGAAACTTTTATTCATGTTCATTCGAGTCGCGATTCTCGAAATAGGCTCGCATGATATCATTTCACAGAAGTTCAAGGATGTTGCCGGACGACAGATCATCTTTGAACAGGGCGTCGAAGACGTCCGCGAAGAATGTCGGGTAGAATTCGCACGCTCTCTTGCAATCAGGAGCCCAATTCAATTCGAGCAGTTTCGGCTGGATGCCTCCATCGTCCCACTCCAGCATGAGGTCGACTGCGTACATGGATCGCGACTGGGGACTGTCGCCGATTCCCCGTGGCGGGGCCATCTTTACAGCGTTCTGAAACAGTTCTCGGAGGGCGGCGAAAATTTTTCCTTCCACATTCTCCCATCGGACATCATTCTGTTGCTCAAACTCTTGAACGAACTCGTCACAAAGCATATTTTCCATCGTGATGTCGTCGGCGTAGTTCATCACAGTGAAATGTTTCTCGTAGACGTGGAAGTCATCGAGCGAGAAAGGTTTATTGGCGAAGCGAAGGTAGAACTTCTTGTGTACCCACAGCTTCAGCGGCCGCACGCTTCTGAGCAAGACGCAATACCGGATATCGAACTTGACTTTTCCTACTCCTGCTCGATTGAAAAGAACTGGATCGACTATGTATTTACACACGATCTTCGGGCCCGTCGTCGCGACCCGGGTTATGAACTCGACGTTCTCCGATATGTAAGTGTCGAGAGATCTCGCCAGATTGAAGGGTTTGACTATCCAATGGTTGTCGAGATTCGCATCCGCGCGCCGCTGAAAGTACGAGACGAATTTCGGCAGCTCGGTTCTCAGATTGAAAGTCGTGGCAATCCATTGCGGATAGGTTGTCAGATCATCCGCTTTCGGTGCTCCCCGTCGACTGACAACTGCGAAGAGATCTTTAACGGTGAGGATGTGCTCGAAAGGAAACTGATTGATCATCTTTTCGGGACATTCCCCCTGGAATTCCGCGAAGTCCTTGAAATGTGTGTTGAGCCAAACGATATCAGCCTCGTCGAAATTCGTGGTGACCTCATAACGACCGTCCCGTGTGAGGTTTTCCTGAAGGACCCTGTAGTCGGTGAATACCTTCAGACGGCGATCTCTGACGAAGCTCATCGCTGGACCTGCCGCGGAGGAATTCGATCAATCAGCTTAAGATGACTCTTTTTGACTCACGGGATGCAGCACTTATCCGCGGACTTATTGAGAGCTTAGGAAAACATTCCCCACCTTCGCCGTCGCCTCCATCCTTATATCCGGGCATCGTTTCCAAATGTCTGCCTCCCTGGAAAAACTCTTCATCGGGCTCCTCCTGATGGAAGTCTATGTGTCGGAAGTCGAAATCGTACCAGGGTAACAAAAGGGCCCTCGCGGTCTCTTCGTCGGTTGGCGGTCCCTCGATATAGTTCCGTGTGACCACGCTATTTTCCTCGATGTCTTCGATAGGGAACAACAAGGAGTAGGTTTGTTTATTTTTGTGATGATAAAGAGGCACTAAACGGAAATTCGGGCTCCTGGAATGAGATATTCTCGACCCGAGCTCATCCACGATATACCTGAAATATGATGAGAATTTTCCAATAATCTTATAGGCACTCGAACGTGTAATGACGATTAATGAATGAAAGCCTCGAGCTCGGTTCTGACCAGACTGGTAGACTGTCTTCGATTTCGGTCAACCCCAGAGAATACGTTTGTGCGTAACGCCAAATTCTCGGCAAAACTTCGTCAACATCCGAAGATGCTAGGTCCATCAGCGCAGCCAGTCTCTCCCTGAGAGCTCCATTGCACTCAAGAATGGTTTTCGCCGCATCCGGTCTGCCGGGAATAGAATGAAGAGTGAAATTCCCGTCCTCGCTTTGTCATGCGATCATGATCATCAATCATCACACGAAATACGTATATGAGGAAACGAGGCGTTACCTGAAAGTCCAAGCGTGATCACACAGATAGATTCCTTCGGGATCGGTCGCTCTGAGTCCATTCGGTTTCGACAATACGACAACAAGCTCGCTTTCTTCGCCCTCATCGTCCTTATGGGAATGGGAAAACGAAACATCATCACTCATCACCTAGCTCGTGCCCTCGGGCCAAACCCTTCCGTCGCAATCCAAAAATTGGTTTTCCCTCTCTTCGCTTGGTTTCCTTCCTCATAATGCGCCTGATGAGTTCCATGAGTGATCGATCGATAAAAATATACGCTGCGAACTTCAAATGGTTGCGCGCCCCGACCCGAGACAGACAGCCTCGGAGGCTCAGCCCCGGAGCCCGCGCAGAAGAGGGCGGTTCGCGAACTTGAAATCGATAGCTCTCAAGAGAGATTCTCCGAAGCAAATGACACGCCTGAACTTCCATCTTTGTGAAACATGGGTTTGAGACCACGACATGGGTATGAGACGAAGTGGAATTAGCGATATTGGGTGTCAAAGTTTTGATAATATCAGCTGAGCGATTCACGAACCTGCAAGCGAGCGAAGGAGAAGGTTCCACCGGAGTCAAAAGTCTCCGAACACAATTTCCGGTAGAGAGCTGACCAGAAATGCTCTGGCACGCCACTTGTTTCGAGTTGCGTCCTGTGACTCGTTAGAAAATTCAAAAACTCTGGATCTAATGGAACACCCATGCTGCGAGACCACCGCGAGGCTCCTGACGTACGACGAGAAATGCTTCCATCGATGTAAACATTCGTGTCTTATAGCGCGGGAGGGAATCAGTTTTTTCAGGCGCTGGTAGCGACCAGGGTGCGAGCGATAGCTCGCTCGCCGCTCGGAAACCGCATTTTGGTTCTAGCGTGCTTGCAGACCTCGCACCGAACCATTCGGCGCTACTTGACCGGGCGCAAGGAAAATCGGGCACCGGGACGATTGGAGTGCGTGCCTTGAATGAGACAGCCCGAAGCGGATAGTGATAATTTATGAAGAAGAGGGAAGGGCGCTCTTCTCTCATCCTGAATCCATATTTTTCTCAATTTTCTGATGCCTTATATAGAATCGCGTCCCGAGAGAGGACAGGCTCCCCTTCATCAGGCAGGAGAGACTACTTATGGACTCTGGCTTCAAGGGTCTCAATGATGGGTGTCTCCACTGTACTGTAGAGCGGAGATGTTTTTCTTCGCGATCAGAATGTGGGAACGTGCTCGCTCCGAACGCTCATCCGTTGTGTAACCCCGAGCGATTGATTCACGTACGACATACACGAGGCTTTTTGTGGAATTAGGCGCTGAAAATTGGAATCTTCTCCGTCCAGGTCTCTTCTTCGGTCCTTGTGGAGAGTTGGCAATTGGCAAGCATGAGATTGACGCATGGCGGCGAATTCGAAAATCTCATTCCACCGCCTGATCTGCAATGGGGCACAATTGATGTTCTCCATGACCAAAGGAGGGCTATCTCTCGGAAGGCTCAGCCCCTCGGGGCTGAGCTGAATTCTCCTGAGCAGCGACAGCGAGAGAAAACATGCGGTAGTAGCCGGCGATCGGTTCGTTCTCGATACCTCTACCGTATGCAAAATCTGTAGATCGCGGACGTGCAACGTGCACCCTAAATGAGTTCCTGTGTTCGATGACAGAAAAAGGTAGTGTGAACTCTCGGTATTGTTTGTAGCGCTCGGGCGCGGCTTGGGCATCGCTGGCAAGCCTCGTTTAAGTGAATTTTGAAATCTTTGTGCTTGTAATGACGAAAGACGACCTGAGAGCTAGTGCCCATCCGCATAACGGAAACCTCGAAGAATGTTACTACACGGTGGGGTGAGTCGTTGTTGGGGCCCTCGCATCTATTACGTATGGGAGTCAGTCCTCCCCGCCCCTACTGACCAGCTTACGATTCCTGCTAGGCTCCCAGACGATGCTCGGGAACGCTTCCGATCCTTTCGCGCGGTGTTCCAGCCTCGACAGACCAGGACTCCGTCCTCGAGTGAGGCCAGAGTTGATTCTCGTCGACGATATGCTCGATCCACGAAGAAAGAGCCACTGAGTCATTTCCGTTATTTCGGTATAGACAAACCAATAAAAGACGATCGACAAGACGAGAAACTGAGGGCTAGTGGTATGTGCTTGGGCTCGTCGTGACGTTGAGCGACTCGGGAAAGCTTCATCGCGGCATGGGGGCTCGATCTTCCTCGAGGAATCCCCACGCTGTGGCAATGGATTTTTCACCATCGTGGCCCGGTAGCAGCTTCATGAGACCTCAAGTCAGCTATCCTAAACAGGTCCATCATGCACGCCGACCCGGCACAATCTCGAGAAACTCTTCAGTCCCAATCGAGGTTTCGAGGAGTCCGTCGACGCCGACACGAGACAGAAGAGGAAAATTTTCGAGAAGCATCTGCGAGGTTTCTTCGTAGATAAACGAAGACACGCTTTGAAAAAGTATGACAGGTTGCATGCTGACGAAGAATCAGCCCACTGGGTATCTCATCCATGGAGCGACGCGAGGTACGTTCCTGCCATATCCGTTCGATTCTCGTATGGAAGACTAGCGCTAAGGAGACCGAGCTCAAATTTGTTCATGTTGCGTCGTATCGACAGACTGCGGTGGGAGGTCGTGATGGTGATCGTGTGCATAGTGAACATGATCCTCCTCCCGGTGATGGTTGCTTTCCTTGACTATTACGACTGGTGGAGTGAGTGCCTCGTCTTCAATCTGTTCTTTGACGCGATCTTCACCCTTGACATGGCCTACAATTTTCGCACAGGTCAGTGACGCGAGCCGATCGAGAAGGCGGACTCGATTTCTCTGACTGAACTTTCAGGATTTATTCCATTTTCGGATTGTGGGTCGCAGTAGTCTGAGAAATTCTCGCGGCCTCGAGCTTGAAATCCAGTCTCGAGCCATCGACCGAGTTCTCAGGCGGCAAGTTCCGGCATCTGCATGGAAAACACCACGAAGGACGCGATAAGACCCAGCGACGTAATGAATGTGCTCCGGTCCATGCTGTAGAATTTTCCCGCAGTCAATTGGAGACCTCCGACCACTCCCATCTGACTCTGAGTGAGTTCGAGTTGATGCTCGTACAATTCCGAGTGGGTTCTGAGGCCAAACTGGTTGATGGTAGTTATAGAGACCTTCGGACTCTGGCACAGGGAGGCTGCGCTGAAGAGCAATAACAGCAAACTCATGGTTCCGTATGCCGTATCCAAAGCCCAGTTGTACAATCCGAATGCCGTGAGACCCTTGGTCGACATCTGGAAGGGAAACTTGGATTCAGTCTCCCCAGAGAGATTTAGAGCCCGCGAGAGTCGAACCATGGAGGAGCACTCGTGGACGGAAGGATATATCGATAATCTGTGTATCGATGCATGGATAATGAGATTCACTCACGACGAAGAAACTGTTGACTTCGAGGCAGAGCTGCAGCACCCCGATGGAATGGAGAGCGAAGACCATGGTGCAGAAAATGTTATCTATTTTCTGGATGAGTATGCACAGATCTTCCGGGGAGAAAAAATGGAATTCAGTCACCCATGGAATCGGCCAAAGAGAAGGAAGGATGGAAAAACGCTTGTCGAATGGGAACTAAGCGATCACGAACCGGCATGAATGAGTCGAAGTTTCAGCATATCTCCTGGATTATTCATCGTATCCGCCATCAGCATATCCCGCATCAGTTCGTCGTATCTCCGGAATTTGGAGACCAGAAGCTGGAATTGAGAGTTGTGTCAAGGAGTTTCGAGTTTCCTGGAGAACTTCGCGAACCAAAGGGGAACTCACAATGTTCAGGAAACTGAAGGTTAGAAGCACAGTCGAAATCGTGCCCGATATCAGAAGGCGCTCCATGGAGAACGTGATGATCGCCATGATATGCACCACGGGGACCATTGAGCCCGAGATATCACTCGGTTTCAACAAGAGATCCTTTTCGACGAATTTATCGAATTTCCCCTCAAAAATGAATGCGGCATAATCTGTGGGAATCCGAGAAGCTTCGAAGATCCACACCGTCATCACACAGTGGGTGGAAACTTTGCCGATGAACAAGCCCGTGGCGTCTGAGACATTACTGAAGTTAGTCAGCAAGAATACAAGTCATCCAGATCCCCCGAAAGTTATCTGGAATCTTACTCACAATTATGCCGGAGCTTATCCAGGCGTCGGAGTAGTTGGAATATCGCATCGTTGTGCTGAGCGAACTTCCAATGAAAGACGATGCAGCCGAGTGCTTTCAGGACGTCGAAAACGCGTTTGATCACTTCACCCTTGCCCTGGTTGAAAATGAGCACAAGTGTGGCCCGCAAAAACCAGATCATAAGGTTGGAACGCACGAACATCTGGTACAAACTCCGTCCATGAGCGAGCCTGAAAAAGTAGCATGGCCATGCGACGAGAGTTTATCGGGGATCCGATGAGAACCGAGCTCAAGCGGTCCCACAGACACTCGAGCAACCTGAATTCGCGTGAAGAGAGAACCCACTTTTTCTCTCCAGGGGATTCGATTCCCAGATGTCTCAGGCTGGTGAAAACATGTCTAAGGATCCAGGAAGATCTGAAGTCTTCCTTTGCGAAGAGCATCTCCGAAGTTGTCGTGGACTCGCTCTGTAATCGAGATTACAGTCATGCGATCAGGAGCGCCGACCAGTCGATAATCTCGCGGCGGACCGAGGAAGATTAACGAGCTCTAGAACAACTGTTGTTCATCCCCCAGGACTGCTTCGAGAGCTGAATGATTCGAGCTTTCGTTTGAGGAATTTCTCAAATCAAGCGGAACCATGCTTCGAGAAGAGGAAATTATATTTTACAGGTGTATTGAAGCGAACGGGCATGCAACACAAAGTCAGTCTGTCCCCCGTCGACATTCAAAGACATTATTTTCACGGCTGGTTCACTTTGGATCTGATTTCTACCCTTCCGTTCGACTACACTCTGCCTCATGTGATCGAGATGTTCAGTGAGTACGATCATAATAGTCGATAGATTCTGGAGCATTCGACAGCGATGGACAATCCCGGATAACCTTCTTTTGCGCAAACAGGTGACACGGATTTCGTGTTGGGAGCTCGACTCTTGACATTGGGGAAGTTTCTAGGCTTACTCCGCCTGCTTCGGGTTTGTCGAATGGTGAGGTACCTGACAAAACTTCAGACTTCATTCTCATCTTCGACGCAGTGGGCCTCGCTGCGTATGTTGAATATGGTCCTGCTGATGCTACTCACTGCGCACTGGAACGGGTGCTTGCATTTCTTGGTGAATTCCTGTCTCGATTTTCCGGACCGCGGCTGGATATCCCTGACAGGGATAAAGGTATACTTGTACGAAGGATGGAATTTCCCCATGTGGTTCCGGTGCTTCGTTTATGATGCTCTACAGATGGTCATGATTTCGAAAACTGACGATCGATGGAGCACCGGGGCATCTCTCGCGTCGGATCGGTGGAAAATTACTCGCGACCTTTCAGGATGCTTCCTGGACCGTGCAGTATTCCTGGTGCCTTTTCAATTCGATATCTCAAATGCTCTGCATTGGGTACGGGCGAATGGCGCCAGAAACCCTCGTGGACATGTGGTTCACATTATGGGGCATGCTGAGCGGATCTGTCGGTTTCTGCTTGATCATCGCACACATATCCTCGGTATGGCAACAAATGGACGCTCCGAGGAAACTGCATCGACAGAAGGTGAAGCTGGAGAGATCGTTCGCATGTGCGACTTATGACTTTCATACTTCCGGAGTTTTGCGGGGAAACGCCGGCGCTGTCCGCTCCGAGAGGTCACGTTCTCCGAGCACGACTTCTTTGCAGATGGCAGAACTCGAGGACTACATGTCTTATAAAGGCTTCGAATCGAAGCTGCGCTCAAAGATACGTGATTATTTCGAGCAGCGATACAATGGTCGAGTTTTTGATGAAGAGAGCATCCTAGCATCCATGTCGGAACCGCTCAGAGAGGTTAGATATATTCACCGACAGCTGCAGGAAAGAATTCCGCAATATACGACACAGATAAACGAAGAAACTCCGATTTGCAGCTTATAATGAGGCACTCTTGCGAAACAATGATCTCTTCCCTGCCGTTTCTCACGTCTGCGGAGCCTCCGTTCCTGAACGAACTGGTCTTACAACTTAAAGCCGAACTTTATCAACCGGATGACATCATCGTTGCCTACGGGACCGTCGGTAAGAGCTCAAGAATTTGGCAGATGCGCAAGGCGCACCAAGTGGAGTTCTCAGACCCGAGAACGCCGAAACTCTAGCATCATTATCTATCTACGCGTCGTATCGAACGAAGGTTTTTCGAGAGATGAATTATTATTGAATTCCAGGGGAAAAGATGTTCTTTATACAGTCTGGAGAAGTCACCGTGCTAAACCACGACGGTGACATTCTAGCAACTCTCCACGAGGGTCAACATTTTGGCGAGCTCAGTATCCTCACACGATGTGAGCGGAATGCTACCGTTAAAGCCGCCACGCATTGTCGGTGCCTCACGCTAGACACCGCTGACTTTCACCATGTCAGTTCCCGTAGACATCATTTTTTAGTCCATTGCCGCTTATTGTCCACAAAAGCCCCGCGTCATTCTGATTGACCATTTCCCTAGCAGGCTCTAATCGGAGCGATTGTTCAAATTCAAGGTGTTAATTCATTTTCCGCACATCGAGGCTTCGATACGGAAGCTGACCAAAGATATCCAGACGATGCGAGAGCAGATGAAAGACGGTGACGTCGGGAATCTGCTGGACTCGACTCGAGAAACGACAGCAACGGTGGTAACGTTCACAAAAACTCCTGAGAACAAGAGACGGGGTAAAGCCACCGCGCACAATGTATGAGAAATGTATAGAATGCCGATTATGGTTCGGGACTCCCGGAAACTCGGACGAATCCGCCGAAACTCCGACCTTTTCCTCTGAACAACGCCGTTTTATTTAAATGAGCTACAGTATCGTTTGATTGATCGATTAATTGGTTTGTGTCGAATGATTTTTTAATGAACTTATAAACGCGTGTCCGAATGGTCCTGCGGCCGCACTCGTTTCTCGGAGACGTGGATGCTCGCCTCCATGCTTGTTCAGGGCTCTCTTAATTGTCAGCTCGAAGTGCATACGATTTTGTTGAGGCTAGCGCGACAATTTTCGAGCTCGGCTGGCACCTCACGCATCGGCTGGTCCCTCGCCCTCGGTGAATTAATTTCTGGAAAAATAATCATGCTCTTTCGATTGAATAGAAGTGTAATCATTCCATAGTGAGAAACTCAACGAGTCTTCTAATTTTTACGACTCGACCATCGGAACCACGTGGTACTCCTCAAATTGGGCGGGAACACGCTCTTTTGAGCATCAGTGATCTCGCTCCCAGCAGAAACGCTTATCATAGAAGCAAGACAGCAGTGTGGGGATCCAGAAGTACATTCATTCCGCTTTAGAATATAGATTCGAGACATCTCTCTCGACATCAATGTACAGTTAATTTCCCCTAGCGTGACTTCAGCCGGAGCCGCAGCGTGTCGATAGGAAGCCCACGGGCTTCAATCGCGTGAGATCAAACGTGAGATTCAATCAATAATATCGTTATAGCTGTCCCCCGGAGTCGGCGGGAGACAGTTCAGGAAAAGTCGTTTGGGAAGCATTCGGCATCAATGAAGAAATCATCCTCGAGTCGACCTCTCGAACAAACACGGCATCATTCGAAGGCGGTCCCTCAGTCAAACCGGATCCGACTCTCTCGTTGCGAGACATCATTCGCCGAGTCCCGTCCTCTCGAGCTCATTCAATTTAATGATTGAGTTAATCCGAGCGCATCCTCAGCCGGGAGCGATGCGAGACTTTCAAGGCGTGTCTTCGTCGCATCCGAGGAGATTCGTGCGCTCATTGCACGTAGATGTCGGTTGTTGCCCGACGATCCTAGTGATACCCGAACGAATTATTGAGGCCATTCCGCTACCAGTTTCGGCGCTGGGTGCAGGAGTCGATTCCTCGTGCACTTCGACCTCGGTACCTTGAGAAAAATGGAAACGCTCGTGTCAATCGAAAAAGAGTGCCTTCACCCGTGATCTCATGGCAAGCATATCGAGACCTCGGCTCAAGACACTCACTGGGCGTCTGCGGTGACGCTGCACTACGCTGACGGCTCTGCGGATTTGTGTACTGAGTGTACTGCTGGTACTGCGGATGGAAGTTGTGGATGGCGTCATCCATAATATCTTTGGGATTCATGGTTTCCTGCAACAACATTCCCGCGATTGGGTCAGGATCTGGACTTCAACCCGTCGGAAGCACGAGTCACATGGGTATGGGTGGTATCAGTTCGGACGGCTCAACCTGCTCGAGGACGCGGCCGTACCTTCAGACTTGAAGAGATGGATTGCATGGTCGTGGCGCTTCTCGCCGCGGGCACTCCGTTCCTGCTGTCGTACACGCCGACGGGGAAAGCATAACGGAAAGCCAATGCGGCCATGAACATCTCGATGCAGATGAGGAAATTTTGATGCGCAGCGGCAATCGTGGCGGCTTCGAGTTGCGCGCCGCTCTTTCTGTCATCTCTGTGGAATACGAAAGCCAGACAGACCCCTTGCCAATAAGAGAGAAAGATAATCGACTTGACGGTGAAGAATTTCCAAACTGGATCAAAGGGCCTCAAGAGTTCCTTCGTCGCGGAATAGAAAAGGAACAGTCCGTAGAGCGCTAGCGTCACGGAAGCGTTGTCGATCATCGAGATGTAAACAGATCCGGAGTTGAATTCCCAGTTGTTCGGGTTGTAGTTTCCTAACGGGTACATTAGCAAAATCACGATGCTCATCAGAGGTTTGATGGCACAGAACTGCAGGGTGGCTTGTTTGCAGAACCTCAGGAATCCGATCGTGTAGGTGTGTCCGGAGAGACAGCACGTTCCGCGCCAGTAGGATGTGGGGATCGGTTTGCCCCGGATCTCGGCCATTATATTGCCTTCCCCGCCCAAGTATTCGTAGCACAGCGAGAGGAAACTGTAGATCACGACAGCTGGAAGCAGAGTCTGATTTCAGATTCGCGCCTTGATCTTTTCCAGAATTTCCTCGAGCGGACGATCAATCCGATCATAATTCGCATATACTCGTACGTCGCAATGTTACGCGTCGTTCGGAGCTTACGAACCTTCATACCAATCACGCACAGCATTGAAATAGATGTAATAGTTCTCTTTGAGGAACAACAGCGACAGCCATGACTGTAAACCGTATATGGGGACGAAGAATAGAATGCGAACAATCCAGCGTTGCTCCGAGGGCAGCGTGTAGCTCCTCAGGTGTAGGTAAATCTGTGTCGGAATACAGGTCAGTGAATTACGTAAGCTGTGTAAACTATCTGGGTCCTCCGCTCGTTCGACAAACTGCGAACCTCATTACGTTACCTGGCGGCATGTGATGAGCGTCGCAGTCCAAACAAAAAGGCCCGAGATCAGTTTGGCGCTTCTCGTCTGTAAGAACATCATAGAAGTCTCTGCGGTGGACTCGCTCGCGGTCGCGGCATCGGTGAGGCTTGACAGCTCCATCTCCTTCTCTATGGATGAAAATAACTGTTTCAAGAAAAGCTCGACGCGGGACTCATTCGAAACTGATCATCCCACTGGGGCAGTGCTCATCCGGATGGGGCTCAGACGACGCGCGAACGGTCAAGGATGAGGAGGGTCATTGGAGCGCTAAATCCTAGCGGCTGCCAAAGGGCCCAGCAGTGTCATTCGCAATCCATATGTTGCGGGCGGGGAGGTATCTCTGCCTCCCAGAAGCATGGAAATCGACCCCCCCCCCTGTTTTTCATTCGGCAGGAACGAGTCTCTGATCCATGGTCGTTTTCCTAGGTTATGCTTTTCGAGTGACTACTCCGCCGACTAATCGAGGAGACTCATCGCGAGAGGATCCAGGCTTTGTTGATTTATCTCTCGGCGAGCGACCAGCTTTCCGGCCATATGGATCAATGGAGGAAGGAACAGCGGGCTGGTACTTGAGCTACTCGGCGTGAATCCTTCGTTTACCCGATCGGGGACACCCCCAGTCTTTTGATCATACTCGAAATGTCAACGCCTACGCGAATTGGAGTGGCCAAATACATACCTGTGGTCGAGGCCAAAATCGCAGATACTCAGTTTCAGCGATTATCGCTCTGGAGCTCAGCACTCAATGACAGTAGGATCCTATACACCGTGGCCAGGATTCTTCGTTTCCAGGAGAACTCGATGCGAATCAGTCATTGTCGTATGGCTTTGACAGATTCTACTTCAGTGCTCGGGGTCTTCTCCTTATTCGCGCATTTCCGTCGTTTAGTGCGCAGAGCCGTAATCGAAGGAAGGTGGCACTGCTCCCCGACTTCCAGCTGAGCGGAAAAGCTCCAATAATGTTTTAGCAGAGGAGGGCTCGTCTCAAGAGCCACTCTCGTTGTCGTCAAGTCGTGTCGATGCTTTTTGTGGATTGAGACCATTCCGAGTGCTCCCAAGTCGAAGTTCGATAAAGCTCCTTTGAGGTGAGTCTCGGATAGCTCTCGATCAGCTGACATCACTGCAGAATGTATCTGTGGTTCGGAGAACTCGCGCCATGGATCTGCGCTCGACTTTCCTACGTTGCGAGTGCAGCGGTCGCCATGGAATGAGCTCAATTTATGCTGTCTCGACTGTGGAAGTCTTCACAGCGAGGTTCTCCGATCCCGCTTACTCAGGTTGCGGGGTGAGAAGAATGGGGAGATATCGCGAGTTGTGGAGATCATCTCTGGTTCATAAACAGTCAGCTACGATTGATGGATGGGATCTGAGATTGGGGTCACTGTGGTGGGCAGCTCCCATTAGATCAATGTGGTGACAGTTTCGACTTGATAAAATTGAGGGCAGGAGGGGGACTCCTTTCGAGAGGCCTCCGGATCATTCATCATATCGAAATTAATTGGCGAGAGACTTATGATGGATGAGATCGGAAATCGTAATGATCGACACTCCCTTCATTCCGTGAAGTGTAGGGCTTCGCTAGATCGCGTCAGACCGTCGCTGTCAGGAGAACCATTTCGCACGGAGTGCCGCACAGGGGCTCCCTGTCATTTCCTGGCGCTTCCTCGCGATCCGCGTGGATGATGATTTTCCGAGAGCCGACAGACTAATGCCTGGCGGTGTTGCTATTACAGAATGGCAAACGACGCGGATACGGAAACGCCGGCGTCGCTTCTTTTGTGGACCCTACTCGAAGTCAGCGAGAGAGCCGCGCGAATAGCTCGGGAATGTCGATCAGAGAAGGAGCTCTTCGAGCTTCTAGTCCAGGAGAAGACCGGGAAAGAGCGGAATACTCGTTTCCTCCACGATTTCAAAACTTTGGCCGACGTTTTCATTCAAGAGATGGTCAAGCATTATTTAACGGAAAAGGTCAACCACTGAGAGCGAAAATGAGCGAAGAGACTTTCCTCTCCGCCCCATATTCTCAATCCTCAGCTCGTCGCTTCTCCCACAGTTCCCGGTGCTGAGGACTCACATACATGGCGAAGAAACGAACGAGTTCACGAACGCGAAGGGGCATCGGATATTTGTCGAGATGAAATCTACGGAGGGCGAGACAGCTCTGCTACTAGAGCAGGTCGGTCCATAGAAATCACGTCATTGAGCTCAATCATCCGCGTTCTCATGCTTTTCGTCTCGAGCATGACATCCTGCTGACTGAAAGTGAGTAAGCATCCCATCCCATGATTCCCTCTCCCTATTGGCAGGTCCTCGACGGGAATGCGAGAGCAGCGGCTCTTCTAGCCCACGCAGCTCACGCAGAGCCTCGGGTCGAAGAGTCGGTTCGAGCAGACTTCGAGAGAGTTAGGCCGCAGCTACGGGGTCAGGAGATTCCTCTGGACGATATAGGAATATGGATAGACCCTATCGGTAGGTCTGATTCTCCTCTCTCCCATGTATGATAACATAATCGACTTGTGCTAATTAGCATCAGAGGAAGTCTGAACCGAATAGTGATGGATCGCGGTGTCCGCAGATGGGACTTACGAATACGTTCGAGGCCTATGGGATGAGGATTCCAAGGGAGGTTCTTCGGAATTCGGGCTGAACTGTTGCACAATACTTATCGGAGGATATCGCAGATCATCTGGTGTCCCCTGCATTGGCGTGGTCTCCCAGCCTTTCACAACCCCACAAGGAGGATCCACGATTTCGTATTTCAGCTACGGAAATGTGTCGAGCATAAGAAGAATGCCATTGACAAGAGACATCGTACTCTCGTCCACCGAAGATCCGGAGACGATAAAAAAACTGAGCGAAAAGTTCACCGTGATGCACTGTGCAGGTGCAGGATACAAGATTCTGAATGTGGCCCTCGGCTTGTGCAATGTATATGTGTGCTCGAAGACGAGCACTTATCGTTGGGACACTTGCGCTCCTCACGCTCTTTTGGAAGCTCAGGGTGGAGGCGTGCGGCAATTCCTGACGGACGGCCCGATTCTTTATAACGTAGGCGACAAGGCAGCAGCTCGGAATGCCGCAGGTATCGTGGCGTACCGGGACGCGAATGTTCTACAGAAAGTCCTGACTCTCTTGAGACAACAGGCTCCTTGAGCTCCTGAGATCGCGGGGAGCTCCGTCGGCTCGTACCGACTTCACGTAGGATATGAACAGATCCATCACATCGACCGAGAACCAGACGGTGGCACCACCTCGATTCTATTAGATAAGCATAGCCTGTTCACATTCCATTCATGTTCCGATCGATATGTTGTTCAATCAATTATGCTATACACATGTTCCGCGTCTACATCGTAACGCAATGCTTGATCGACTTGTTTATCGGTGTTTTGAATGTTGCATGATCTATGGTACGGGTCCTTAATAATTGAAGATCAACCATTGAGGATCATCGTAAATCTAATGTGACGGAATAAAAATTCGGATGCTCTCCCAGCCTGAGGATTCTAAGGTACCCATTCCTGATCTGAAGCCTGAAATTTATGAAACTGACAGCGAGGGAGGCCACGGTCCGTGATCTACATTATCCACAAATCGGGAAGAACCTCACGAGCGGGAATGAATTCGAGAGGAAGATCGATAGAGAATCTCCCTCCGTCGCGATAACTTGAGTTGGTCAGTACCTATCCCCCGGGAGTCCCCCGCCCGATACCGGACGCTCTGGACTTGGCAGTGCCCGAGCCGGCTCATTGGTAGAATCTTGCGAGGGAGCGCTCCGGTTGCTCCGGTCTACCAAGCTTTCGCTATCAACAAAATCGTGCTTCGGGCGTACGCGACGTGCACTGAGGTTACGAACGCCCAATGATCCCGAATGTTAGTGCAAGGCCTCGGAATAAGTAACCATATCGGCTCTAGAAGAGATGTCCGACGCATCGCCCGCTTCGGTTCCCGAGGAAATGGAGGCGAAGTACGCTGAAGTTCTGGAGAAACTCCGGGTCCTCACAGAGAAGACACGGCCGATTACTAACGAAGTACGTTCACGAGAGGAAGAGAGACGTTGCCTGCTGAGACATGCGATTGTAGGGCGCGGTCTCCCGACCCCTGGATTTGGCTTTGGAACAGGCCAAAGTCAGAGGCACCCGGAGGAGGAAGTTCAGAAGTGAGTTCCGACAGACGCTGTGAGGTTCCTACCCCCGGAACATTTGCCCGAGAAATTCGTCGAGAAGATTGTGTCTCGAGCCCTGTGTTGAAGAGTCCTCGACGAAGGACGTGTCTCTGTGGATGCAAACCAGTGGCGTAGCCAGGATTTTTTTTAGGGGGGGCGGAATTTTTTTCGAGCTTGTGGGTAGGCTCACAGAATCATCCGTCTCATATCGGTGGAGAAGTCATGATTCGCTAGCAGCAATCGATTTTATTACCAAAAAGTCGAACGAGCAGAAAAACGTTAAGTTTAATATGCCAAGAGGTCTACCTCCGTCACCGCAAAGAGGTAAAGTAGAACAAATGGAAGGCACAAAACAATCTACTGACAACGAAAGGTGAGCACACTGGCTGGTAGGCCTTCTCGACTCACAACATTTAGTTCATTCGGCGCTTTTGCTTGCTGGCGAATCTGTCTGACGACACGAAAACCTAGATGATAGAAGTAGACAGGCGTCTTTCCGACACTCTCCGGAAAATATTACGGTAATATCAATACGGTATAATCGATAATTTCTCCCGGTATTTGAATCGCCCCACTGAAACTCATTGGACGGGTCCTCTTTGTGTTTCAAGCAATAAGTACAATATTTCGAGCTCGGAAAATCTTCTAGGAAGTGCCAGTACCAGAGCGTTTTCCCGCGGATCACTTGTGACATATTGTAAATACCAAATGAACAGGTCCATTATTCTAATTGCATACTTCCGAGTGTTCCCTGTGACCAAATGGTGATACCGGATTTCTCGACCCGGAAAATCCCGATCCGCTCAATTCGGTACTTGTTTCTTTTCGGATCCTCCTCGCTCCGCTGCCGGGCGAAATCGGCAGGCCTATCTCCGCCAGCACATCCCGAGGATCTCATGGCGATGGTGGCTGAATTACAGCAGGCTTCAAAGCATTCGAGGCGATGATCAAGTCGGCCTGCTTTGTGACTTTCCACAGGATGTCGCGATCACCCTCAAGCATTTTTGGTTTCACGTCACAATAGCGACGAACGAGCTCCAAGCACTCAGTTCCGTGCAAGAGCTCGCGCTGATCGCAGCATTCATAGGCTCTCTTCAGGATGTCGTATCTGGAACCAAGAAAATGCGATCCATGGGGCGGAAAATGCCTGGATAGAATTATTTAGTTTCATGCGTTCTCATATCACTAGAAATCCCAGGAGCCGAACCTGAACACCTGAGGCATCTCGCTAGCCACGAAACGATCGCCATTCTCGTCCGGATATCTGGGAATGGTCGATTGCATCGATCCCTTTGCGTCGATTTTCAGAACGGTCGACACGAGACTTATCCACGGTCCTGCGGCACCGCATTCGCCCGATGCTTCCAAGAGATCATCCACGAGCTAAAAACAACGCGAGCTGGATAATCCCCGTCTGATTATTATAGGACTGTCTGATGTCCTTAATCGGTCGCTAGTGAGGCCGCTTACTTTGCGAGGAACGAGAGGACGTACAGCGTCGTGCACGATTACGGTGCTGAATCCCCGACCATTCAAATAATCAACCCCGGTCTTGATCGAAGCATGTCTCGAATCAACTCCTTTCCTTATTACGACTTCGATCGGGCACCCCGCGCTGGAAGACCGCACGAAAAACTCGCATTCTCAAGCTTGCCCGTCGGACAAGTCGGATGATGGCGAATGACCGCTTCTCGATATTAGAGCTCACCAGTCTTCCAGAACTCTATCGACCTCGTCCTGTATCTTCTCTTTCAATTGGGAAGAGGTTACCACCACGATGAGGTCGATCGCAGCTATCTTCTCGAGATTGCTCAAGGTGTGAGCCAAGATACTTCTTCCGTGAATCTTCAGAAGCTGCTTCGGTGTCGACAAACCCATACGCGAGCCTATGCCTCCCGCGGGAACGACGCATGCCACGCTCGACATCGTTCGCTAGCAGTGTTCCCTTTAAATGATCATTCCCCATACTCCAGACTCCGATCGGTGAAGTGAAGGAGCAAGAAACCTGCCCGATGATCCATTCCACGAAATCTGCAAGATGAAGAGAGCTCCACGGATAAGTTTTTTTTGCAACCATCAAGCCCTTGTCAGTCGCAGATCGAAGTTCTGTCATTGTACGTCAGGATGCCGGTTTGCTATCGAGCTGATTGAGGAAAATTCGTTTTTCAGCATTTCTCGAGCACAGTTTCTCAGAGATCGCTCTTCGTACGAGCACCGCGTTTCTATTTTACAGGACGCCAGTTTGCTTCGCGTATCCATCGTTTCCCGGCTAAGGCTCCGAAACCGCGCGAACCTTCGAAGGACCGCTGCCGGCTGAGATTGATTGGAAGGGAGGAAAGATCTTCCCTCTCTGCCGAAGCAGAATCATAATCATCATCAATGTCACAACAAGCAACAATACCCAACAAGCCGAAGCTTTTAGCGTCCGCATCTCCACTCCAGATCAAGCGAACTCCACGGCTAAATCGTGGAATCCTAGAATTTTTGTGAGAGCCGTGGAATCTCTCGCAATAGAAAGAATTGCTCAGTGGGCCAAGTATGGTGCGTTTGACCGACACAAGCGGACTTGGTGAGTTTTAAGATCGAATCCTTCTGCGGTCTAGTCTCAGGCTCCAGAAATCCCGGACTCTTCGAGTGGCCGGGGGGACTTACCATAACAGAATGAAATTGATTTGCGGAGCTCTGGTGACACCGGAATATGAAGGGGTTTGCACTCCACGAAACTCCACTCTCCGCCGGAAGTCGATCAGTGGTTTCGGAATTCTGGGCGCGCTGCTCACTGCTAACCCCTCCGTAGTGCGAGGAAAATCTCTGAACTCCGTTGTGCGATCCGAAAAAAGAGAGGAGCCTGATTAGGGGTCGTCGAAATGTCCGATAACTCCGACAACGAGGTCGAGGAGCTATCCTCGGCCGCTCAAGTCGCTCAGCGATTCCAGGAGTGGTGGATCTCGGAGCGAAACTGTCCAGTACTCCTGCCGTATCAAGGAGAATTGGTCGACTGTTTGTTGGATCAACTCGATCACATGCGGCAAGGTCTCGCGCAGCTCAAGGCGAGCGATCTCCGGGCGGGACTCCACAGACTCGAGGTTGAGAGAATTCAGTACCTGATCAACGACTACTTGCGGAGCCGTCTCAAAAAGATCCACAAATTCCTACCTCAGCGCCCGGCGCCGGATATGAATGTTTTGCTGTCCGACCAAGAACGGACCTTCATCGACGATGTAGTCAATGCTACTTTCAAGCATTTTCACGCATCTGCCCTGAGCCAGATGCCAACGGGAATGCAACAGCTGAGTCTGCCCGAGCGCGCCGAAGAAAGAGATCATTACGTGTTCTGCAGGGTGAAGAAAGCCGCGCCGGGCGTCATGGTCGATGCCGACTCGATAGTGGATTTCGATGTCGGTTCACAGCACATTGTCAAACTCGACCCGATCCGGAATTATGTGCATAACTCCAATTTTATACTTCTTTGATAATAAAGCCCTGCGTGTTTTTTTAATGAGATAGCGTGATTTCATCTTGTCAGGGGGAGTCTGTTGTGAGATCAGCCACTTAGGAGTCGGATTCTTCGGAAGTGAAGACCATTCCTGACCCTGGTCAATGAAGTTCAATTTATTTCGCAGCGAAGAGTTCACAATCAGCTGGACACCTGCTGGGATCCAATACATCGAGTCAAGCTAGCACGAATGACGACGAGCTCCGGAAGAAAACACCGGTTCCAGTCGTTCTCTGGAAGAATGCGGACGTGATGCGATGGTTGAAACGTTGCTGCGCTGACCAACACACTATGTACGCTCATTTGTTTCTCGAGCATGATATCACTGGACGGAGCTTGGTTCGGATGAACGAGTGTTCCCTGGAGAAAATGGGCATCACGAACCCGGATCACAAGTAAGACATCTCATTTGCGCGTTTTTACTCGGAATAGCCACGGGATCTGAGTTCCCAGAGGCACAACGAAAGCTGGCAGCCCACCTGAACCCTACAGGCCATATACATATTGAGGAAGGAGAGAAGGAGTTCGAGACAAGTAGAATCATTCAATAGTCCCAATCTTTTCCAGGAGTGAATTGTTCCGAGAAATTCTGAAGCTGAAGTTGAAGAGTGACATCCTCGAAATAAAGGATCTCGAGAGAGCGGGCGCTGATCAGAGCCGGCCGTCGTCGAACTGACTCTCGAGTTTCTCATATCCGGGTCCCTAGCTCCGAAAGTGTACTCTTTTCCAGGAGCCGGAAGGACTCACACGAATTTATTCCTAAGCGGACGAACTGTTTGACGTGACACCTTGGATGAGAGCAATCTCACCGTCGATGTGGGAACAATTGTTCTTCATTTGAGTATCACATCGTCGATTTCTAAAATAAATTCAGCGAGCTGTTGATCACCGAAACCGTCTAAGAAAATTTGGCGCTATAGTTTGGTTATTGCTACAGAGAGCGGATTCCGAGTGCGGAACTGCGCTGCGGCCGTAGCGCACGTCCCCGGCCTGTGGTCATGGGTTGGAGCGAGGGCACTCTTCACCACGATTTCGAGACTAGGCGAAATATCTCTCCACAGCTATTTCTTTGCCACGTTCGTCACTATGGGCTTCGGTCGAGTTCTGAAGACGACCTTGGACTTGATTACAGCCTGAACTTCGAACGATGTTCCCTTCTCTGAGCGGACACGTTTGGTGACCATATAGGGGCTGGCGAGGTTCACCACCTTCCCGTAGAGCACATGATGCCCGATGAGAATCACCGGTACCCCCTGCGAAGGCAATCAGAAAAAAATGGCAAGTCTTGCCTGTCCGGCTCGAATGACTCGATTCAGAGAAGAAGCTTCCTAGCCGCGAACCACCGCTTGTCATCTGAATAAGTGAATGCCAGCGTGGAGAAGCATACTCACATCTTTGGTGAAGTGCAGGTCACCGACGTGGAGATCGTTGAGGGGACTCTCTTCACCCTCCCGATGTTTGATGTCCCCTTGAAGCTCAACGATGCCCCACTCCGGAATAGAGGCAGGTTCCATCGCGCTAAAACGAAAAATCACACATCAGCGGATGCCGTTCGGCAGAGACCTCCCGCTCGCGCGCGGGGAAGCTATTCGAAATGTCTCCTCCGTCCCAGACCGCCACCATACACTGAGTATGCATATCCTCATTTATTCTATGAAACGACTCACTCAGCTGATTAAACAGCTGTAGACAACCAGGGATCAGGGATGCCGCGAGACAATTGATCCTCCCATTCCCACGGATCCACGAGCTCACCACTTTATCAGGAGCTGCATAATTATGCAAGTGCGGAAAAGTCGATGACACGCTCGGATGACTTTTCGGAGAATCACGGATGAGTGCGACAGGCTTTCCGTCTCACCAGCGGTTTTGCGCCAAAAGTCTGTAGAACACCCGATTCGAAAAATACCGCGAGCAGCTTGCAGCGCCCTCACTTCAGGACGCCATCGTCTGCGTCGAAATCCGGTTTCGAAGCCTTTTCCGATCGTTCGGTCTACCAGGTAGGATGCATGATGTGGGGAAAATCTATTTTTCGTTCAATTATCCATCTCGACATCCGTCCCTTGCTGGCGCTCCTAGAACCGGTCACCCTAGAAACCCGAGGGCCCGAGTCGAGCTGATCGACACGTCGGAATCGATCGGATACTGTTCTTTGCCGTAAACACGTGGCCTGTCGGTTCGGGAGCCCTTGGAAAATTATTCGTCTAGCAACGAGCGGATGTTCTGAAATGTTGGGATAACCTGGTACCAAAAATCCATGATGAGCAAGCAAATATAATCTGACACCTCTTGTACGACTCCTCCGTGGGTTCATTTGCTTCTGTCTGAACCAATGTATCGATGTAAACACGAGCGACCTCCGCTGCGATGCATTCTTTCTGTGCAGGACGACCCATGGATGGCAACCGGAACGATTCTGACTGTTCGTGATTTTTCCTTTCCAGTCCTTAATATATCTTCGGATAACCCCTAACTGCTTTTCGAGATGGTTAAGGGGGACAGACCGACGTGGAAGTCCAACTACTTCCTCAAGCTGGTACAGCTTATGGATGAGTACCCGAAGTGCTTCATCGTCGGCGTTGACAATGTCGGTGAGTGTAACCGTCTCGGAAGCGATAAGATTGTCTATGAAGTGCGGGACATTATTCACTGATGATTGAACATAATTAATTCTGACACCTCTTACGAATTCCCGTGTGTTAATCGTGTTCTAAAACTGACGATGCATCACTCTATACTGCACAGGCGATTCGTTCGCAGACGACTCAAGAAAGCGGATATGTTTCAATTGGAGTTTCGTTCCAGGTTCCAAGCAAATGCAGCAGATTCGTGTTTCCCTGCGTAGCTCCGCCGTGCTGCTCATGGGCAAGAACACGATGATGCGTAAGGCCATTAAGGGTCATTTGGAGAACAACCCGGCTCTCGAAAAACTGCTGCCCAGCATCAAGGGCAACGTGGGCTTCGTCTTCACCAAGGAAGATCTGTGTGAAGTGCGTGAGAAGATCATGAACAACAAGGTTCAGGCCCCCGCCCGTGCCGGAGCCATCGCCCCCGTCGATGTCCACGTGCCTGCGCAAAACACCGGTCTCGGACCCGAGAAGACTTCCTTCTTCCAAGCTCTGCACATCCCGACGAAGATTTCCAAGGGAACGATCGAAATCATCAACGACATCCATCTTATTAAGGTCGGAGACAAGGTCGGCGCTTCTGAAGCGACCCTCCTCAACATGTTGAACATTTCGCCCTTCTCGTACGGTCTCATCATCCAGGCTGTGAGTACCTTGGCGTTTCGTGCTATGCCTCCACTCCGCTGAAATGATGATTCAAGCTTTTTATTCTGACACCTCTTTTGAATCACCATGTGATAAATTTGCTTGTCCAATCTGAGAGACCTCGACCGGATGGAGGTGTCCAGAAGTTCCTGGATGAATCCCTAAAATCCTTAACCATGCCCTCAGGTCTACGACAACGGAACCATCTTCGCTCCTGAAGTCCTCGACATCACCCCCGAAGACCTGAAGGCTCGATTCATGAACGGAGTCCGCAACGTTGCCGCCGTTTCTCTCAAGATCGGTTACCCGACATTGGCCTCTGCTCCTCACTCGATCGTCAACGGACTCAAGAACCTCATATCGATCGCTCTGAGCACCGACATCGAATTCGAAGCTGCCAAGCTCGCCAAGGAGTACTTGAAGGATCCGTCCAAATTCGCCGCTCTCGCCGCCCCGGCCGCCGGGGCAGGTGGATCTCCATCGAAGGCCGCAGCCAAGGAAGAGAAGAAGGAGGAACCAGAAGAAGAAGAAGACGACGACATGGGTTTCGGTCTCTTCGACTGAGAAACCCGCGTCGTGCGGGACACGGTCTGTGGCGCTCCGAATCCGGCGGGATTCGCTGGCGCTCAGGGATAATTCGGCTTCAAAGAAAAATATATGGGGAGCGAACATTGTCAATAAAGATGGTGAAGCTTTTCGAAGAATCAGCGTGCTCATTCGATGATTGCCCGATTTCTTGGCCCTGTAGGTCGCCCGGAGTCGGGCGGACAACAGTTTTGGAGAATCGTATCCAACTGAAAGGAAGCCGATGACTAGGCGCGCTGAGAGAACCCGCGTTCCACCATCAATTGGATTTGTTTCCGCGATCCGTCCTGGGAAGAAATAGGTTGCTACCCGGTGATACCTGGGTCGTCTGACTTCAGTTATGCAGTCGGGTGCGGAAAAAATGTGCATAGATACGGTTCGCCGCCAATATCGGGAAACTGCGATGCGGAAGGCAGTGGAACAAAGCATCGGATGAGAGAACGTCGACACGAGGAAGACTCCAACGGATTCAATCATGCGACAATTCGATCCCACGTATAGGGATTCGGCACTTGTCCTGCATACGCTCGGGCTCATTGCCCTTCTCTCAGAGCACGAAACTCTAATGTTTCTTGAGAACCATACAAGGCTTCGCACTAACAGCGATGAGAACTCATGATCGATCGCTTACATGGGTGATTTATTCTTTACATTGTGGCAGCCGTAACACCCCCGCGGCAGTAACTCAGTATATCTTTACAAGCCTAATTATAATACATTGGCTTCTTCACTTGTATGCCATATTCTGACAGCGCTGACGAGAGGTCCTCCGTTGTGAGAGCGAATTTCTTGTCTTTTGGACTCTTTTTGGACGGCTGCCCAGCGCCCCGCATTTTACAGTGTTGCAGAGCATCATTTGAGATGTCTGCGATGAACTTTTGAGCCGCGAGCGAGAGCAATCTGCAAGAGGGAGAACTTGTCTATCAGAGCGGGGTTCCGTCCACCGAACTCAATCGGAGCTTCGAGCATCGAGAAGTTCCCGAGGAGGAATCATGCTTCGAGGGAGACTCACCGAACCACTTTCGGATCAGAGGTTTCCAAACCCGCACAAGTCATGAATGACAACGCCACAGCATCCGGTATCGTCGGTTGATATTCGTCGAGTTGGGTGAGCAAATCTTGCATAGAGAGCTGGAGGGGTGCGGGAGCGGCTTTGTCTGTGTCTTTGTCGGATTGCATGGCCGGGCCTGGAAAAATCGCTGATTAGCGAATCCTGACGGGAGACGTCGAATCGCGAGCAGTGGGACGTCCTGCGAAGAAATCGGAAGCCTCCTGAAACCGAGAGCGGATCTCGGAGAAGACTAGGATGCTCCAGCGCGACCCTGGTAGAGGATTGGGAATTCCAGCACCGAGTTGCGTATGTTTCACCGGAGCCTGCGCTTCTGAATTCTTCAGGAGGAAGCGGCCCGGAAATTTTACCGATCAGAATGGAATATGAAGACTCCACTTTGAGGCGACTCCCGCTGAGACTTGCATCGAGACTCGAGCAGGCCGTCACGGAATCCTAATCTCGATCAACGAATCATATAGCAGAGATGAAGGAACATGAACCTGACCAATTTACTGTCTTGGCGCCGAAACACAGTACCCTGACAGGTGAGAGACCGCAGATACTGGAAGAGATTCCCCACACCACAGTTTTCGTCGAAGCAGCCATGCAATGTGAATTATTTCTCAAGCTCGAATTCGAACACAACTCACCTCTAATAGACGATCCTCTGGACAGAGGAAACTCAGTCTCGGATCAATCACTAGTTTGCTTCCAACAGCCGGAGGTCTCGTCCAACAAGACGATGTGAGAACAGTGTTTACAACTTCATGGAATATCTGCACACTACTCTCGATAAACGACAGCAGCGACCTCAGGCGGAGCGGACCAACCGATATCTCCCTATCTGGATCTGTACGAGCAGAGCGGGGCTCGATCAGGCGAGACAAACCTGTGAGGGAAGCGAGCCGGAAGAGATTTCATGGAGAGCGACAAAAATGAGTGTTTCAGTGAAAACCACGAGCTCCGCATTATAGTGAGCTCCCGTGCCCTCAACTTCCCGTCGAATAATAAACGTCTGAAGGGTATGCTCTCCACTACCCAACCCACCACTCTCCCGCGACAGGAGCGAGCAGTAGAACTTGTTTTTGTGGTGTTTGACCGGTATTATTTTTATTGGGAAGAAGGGAATTCGAGAGCTCCGTCCTTCGTACTGGAGCCCTTGCTTGCAAAATGGGCAAGGTTGCCAAACCGTACAGGTTCATCACGACCAGCTTGGGGGAGATGACGACTTCTCTCAAATCGAACATGAAACGCAAAGTAGGAGACAAACGAGGGTTTTCTGTATCACTGTCCTCTCGTCGGCAAAGTAGGTACCTTGACTATCTGCAGCTCGGATTCGATGAACCTTGCCCATGAGAAGAAATCCAATGACCCCATGCGACTCGAAACCATAACAGAGATCATTTGTGCCTCACAGATCGTTCGAAGCGCAGTCGGGACACGAGGGGAAAAGAGCGCTCCATCAGCAGTGAACCTTGTGGTTAGTCGGGACATGAGGGGATACCTCGCATGGGTTTCATCGAATGCGGATTCTCTTCGTAGAGCTTTTGTTCGCCCACATTGATCGGCTGAGTTGGCGTCTCGTTGAGGCTGTGACTCTGCTGCGCCGGGTATCCTCTGTGGATGCTATGATCCGCGCGCGAGAAGAGCGATAAACTGATCCACATCTTCCGCAGACCTCCTCGCTCAGAGAATCAAAAGTCTCTGTGATTCGGAGAAAGAGAGCCCCTCAGACATCACTGGCGTCCTATCGAACGAGGATGACGACGCCGAAGACCTTAATGAGACTGATCGTAGTTCCAGTGACGGAACTTTCAGAAGCTGTAGTAGTTTCACTTCCTCATCGATCTCGAAGTCGAATACGCCACAGGGGTAAGACCCGGAGTCGTTGTCCTGCCCATAGAATCCCCTGCGAATTTGTCCTCGGAGAATTCGACAGATGGGAAATCCATTTGTCTTACAGAGAATCGCTTGTATCGTGCGTTCCCTCGAAACAAGCCGGTCTGAAAATGTTCCAACACCACGGAATCATGTACATCGTGATGAATGAATTCGCCTGCGCCGCTTTCGGAGGATCGGGTTACATGCTCATTCTGCAGGGAGCCGTGGGGCTTTACGGAGTGAAAGTCTCGGCGTCCGAAAACCTCGTCCTACCGCTGGAATCTGTTCCAGGAAGCTGCATTGTGCTCACCAACAGAGGCCAAAAGTGAGTTGACGAGCACGGCGGAAAAAATGAAGATGATTATTGGGCGCAACGCCTCGGATTACGGATCGCCCGAATAATTTCATTTCCTCTTCCAGGAGCCAGACCGGGAATCTGACAGAAAATTTGGAGCGCATCGGAGCGAGTCGATCTTTGAATAAGGCAAAGGATCTGCTCACGCGGTACCCGACGAAAACTATAGTGGCCATTCAGGGCAGACCCGATAACTTTACGAACTTGAAGCCGAACTTCAGTTCCGCGGACGATTCAACCCCTGAAAACTCATGGGAATCCCTGGGATTTTACGTGTTCCCCTTGCAATCGAATGGAGTGCCGAGCAATCGGCGTTTCGACGACGTCGTCGCCAGTGTTTCGAAAGTGGCCGCCAGAGAACCAGTGCGGATAGTTTTGGGCGGTTCGAGAAACTCCGGGAAATCGTCGTTGATACGAGCGCTTTGTAACAGGTTTCTCCTGGAACGTATCCGGAACGACAGCAGCGACAGCGAGCGGACGACTTGCGCGATCTTGGTTTTGGATCTCGATCCGGGGCAAACAGAGTTCACGCCCCCTGGCTGTGTTTCACTGGTAGAGGTCACCGAGACTCTCATGGGACCGCCGAGTAGCCACCAGGTGAGGCCGGAGAAATCGTTCCTCGTCGGAGGAGGTTCGACCCCCGGGGCTCACCCCGACATGTACGTGCGTAGCGTCGAATTGCTCATGCAGCACCTTCACGATAGCAATTGTGCGAACTACATCCTTCTCGTGAACACGATGGGCTGGCTGAATGGCATAGGGGAACTTCTATTCGGGAGCATATTGAACGTCGTCGAGCCGACGAGACTATTGAGTCTGGACGCTGACTTCAAAGTGCCGACCACGGCGTGGCCGTGTAAGGAGGTGATCTGTTCGCCGGCAGTGACCCAGCTTTCACCGTTGCAGTCCTTATTCGCTCGAGATCCTTATACCAAAGCAGTGACTGCCGCAATGCACCGGGAAGCGTCCATCATCGGATATTTCAAAGGCTCTGCTATCATGGAAAAAACCCCTAATGCCATTCCGTGGTCCAAGGTCGCCTTGCACGAGATCAGCGGTGTCGCGCCGAATCAGGAAATCTTGTATCTCATGAACGGCAACATGGTCGCCCTCTGCCGAGTCCCCGATCGCTTGTTACTGAAAAGCAAATCGAAACCTCTGTTCCCCAAGTTCTTCCAGAACGACCGGAAGGGTCAGGGCGAGGCTTTCGAATGTCTGGGCTTCGGTATTGTTCGTGCGGTTGATCCAGTGAACAAATGGATTTACATTGCCACTCCGGAATCTTCGGAGATTTTCGAATCTGTGAATGCGTTGATTTATAATTCGATTTCCCTGCCGAGTTTCTTCTACGTAAATCAAAGGAGTGAGGTGGCGCCCTACGTTCAGGGGGACCGTTCGAGACTGGAACTCAATAGAGCGCTCGCGACGACCGTGAGCTCATGAAGTAGGCTGAATTTTCGGTTTTTCCGCAAGGTAAATACTGCTCGGAGGCGCCGGACTCGGAGATGAGATTGAAGCGCTTTGTAAACTTGTTCATATTTTTTTCTCGAGAATAAACGACAAGTAATCGTGATGCACAGCCATATCAGACAGGGGCAGGCTCTACCGTTCATCATTGACGAGCCTCAATATCACTTATCACCCCCGGATCATCGCAATTGCTCTCAATCGACGGCAATGCTCTTGTACAGCTGGCGCCCGGGGAGGGCTCGAAAGAAGCCAATCATTTCCATTCGAAGAGGATGGCATAATGGGCACGGTGCTGTTGTCAATAGATGAAGAATTTCAAATACTTTATTTCTTTAATCTTTTTGCCTATTGTACAAGTTTACAACCTTGAAGTAAAAGTATAGGGAACCAGCCCGGTTGTGTATAAATATTATTGTATAACTCTAGCGGAAGCAAACGCTCGCTTGCTACGGCGCTTTTTGAACGGGATTTTTCGGGATTTTTTGGGTAACAATAGTCGCGACAACGAGCAACTCGGACTCATCTGATGAATGATAGCTAGTGAGAGAGAAGTCTGAAAGCTTTGGCTGGAATGGAGAGCAAGGAACAGATGGGAGTGACGAATGAAGCTTCACTCGCGGAAGATCAGATCAGTTGAGAAATGAGCGAGAGATCGAAAGGAGTCGTTCAGGGAAAGAGGATTTTCTCCAGAGAGAGAAGAGTCAGAGACTGGGCGAGCGAGGAGAAGAAGTTCAGAAGTTTCTTGAGTTTCTCAGGAGGAAAGCATAGCGGAAATATAGCTGAAATTCTGAGGTCAGAAGTAGTGAAGTGAGGGGTGCAGCCTGGATAGGTAGCCTGGCTCAAGCGGCCGAGATTCTCCGGGAAGTAGGGCGAGCTGGGAGAGCAGTCGAGTTTGAGGTGCAGATGATGACTGCCGGAAATCTCCATAGGAGGGAGGGGGGATATCTATGAGCGAAGAGTAGAGAGAAGCCATAGTTCAGTTGCGAAGATGCTAGAATGATTGTAGTAGATGAGTCGGTCACTCGATGAGTCGGTCAAGCAGACGCCAGCATCTGGTTTGAGTCCGTCCGTCACGATAACGAAATCTTGGAAACTCATTTCACTTCTCTTGTGTCGTCTTCAAAAGAAAGAAACGCAGAGCGAAGTCGATATGTCTTTCGGAAGAGAGAGGTCGACTCTCGATCGACAGTTGGCGGCGGATTTGGCGTTCGCGAATTTGAGGCTGGCCTTCTCCATGAAGCCGGAGTCCAAATACAATATCCTAGATAGCTTTGGTGGGTCTAGTCTGACTGAGACGGGAGGCACTCGGGGGAAGGATGAAAGGGCGATGGGGTAGGATTCCAGTTTGAGAAGCAGATTATGGCGAAGGGGGCCGTTGACGGTATGGTACGAAGGAATAGACTGAAGGAGTTAGCTAGGGAAGGTGGGAAGGGATTATCCTCATCCGCGTTCCTCGATACAACCCCGATCATCTTATCGATAGAGTCGTCTGCCATGACCGCTGAGCTCTACGTGATGGCGCCATCGATGTCCGTAACACTCGCTCGAGTCGGCGATGTCTAGCGACGCTGAATTGAACGAAAGCCAGCAAAGTCACGGCGTACAGCAAGATGATATGGGTGTAGTGAACCCTGCGAAAATTCAAGGCTTATGAGCGGTCTCCACGGCGAATTCTCATCCGAAAGGGGTCGTCCACAAAGAGTCCAAAGGGGGCTGAGAGTAAGGCGCTTCTCTCAAGAGGAAGTTTCGCTGACCATGGAGCGCTTCAATTCCGCGATAGTGGACCGAAGCTTTTTCGTTCTGGCAAACTCACCGATGCGGTCGATCAAGCGGCGCGAGGAATTGTTCGAGGCCTCCATCTGAATCGAACCCCATCCACAGGAAGTTCGTCGAGCTCCGTCAGCTCACCTGGAATGAGAAATCGGCATCAAACGCCGTCGGTTTCCAGGCATCGACACAAGGGGCAAGAGAGCGCTCCCGTGAGCACAAGGAAATGGCAAAACAGGAAAACATCATTTTCCTCCTTCACTCAAGCACGGTCGAACGACGAATCGGCGCCATTGCCCTCCTCGCGGAATTTTCTGTCGGAAACTCTCCGTGATCGTGTTTGCTTCACGATGGGGTTGACGGATGAGCGACATCCGGATCTCGGCATGCACCGACCGACGTCGGCTTTTCGCAACGACGATCGCCGGGAGCGAAAGTCCTCGACGAGTGGAATCGGTGCCGGCTGTCCGAACGGATAGACGAATTTCTGTGGACCCATGAGCTCACTCCGTACAGGTGTCGAGCGAGTCCGAGTGAAAGACTTCCGGAGGACGACTCGGATTCTCCGACGCACTGGGCCGATTCCCGACCTGGGGCCACGAAATTCAAACTCCCGTTTCGAGAGAGAATTCAAACACCGGTCACATCCAGAACTGTTCGCGGTAGAATCGAGCCCACATCGCTACACGACGACACGGGGCTCCCACTCTAAGGTAACCGAACGCCTCGCCCGGACACCGAGTTCCCGAGAGCTGACAATCGGAATTCGTGTCTACGGACACCACTTACCATGGTGCCTTCGTCTCTTGCTTCTGACTCGACTCCGTCAAAAGAGTAGCTTAAGAACGGCGGACAGAACGAGACCCTCTCCCTGCGATGAGGGACCGAAACGAGGTCATGCCGAAGATGCCGAGCGTATCTTCACGACGCTTCCGGAAGTGAAAGTGAAGTCCGGAGTGGATGCCATCGAATCGCCGACAAGCGACCCGCCAGACAGAGCAAGTCAGTCAGTCAGTCACTGGGGCAGCACGAGAAGGAAGAGAGAACAACGAATCGGAAAAGAGAAAGATAGCGGATAGAGAATGGATGGATGGCAGGAAGCCACGCGGATCTCAACGTTTCTGGATCGCACCGATTGTTTGGCTCCGGGTCGGTCGGCCCGCAAACCCAGGGGGCTTCATCGTTGAAGACGTTAATGCCATTATTATATTTCCTGGCTTTCATCCACGAATTATTTCTGATGCCCAGCGAGTCAGAAAGAGGACTCCGGTTCCCAAGCTTCTCGTACTGTAGAGCTTTTGACTCGAAGTCGGTCCCCTCGGCACCGACAGAAACTGTATGCCCTGGAGGTAGAATTCCGCACAGCCGGTGAGAGCTCAATCGGTGTTCTTTGCTGCGGAGGTTCGAACCTGAGCCCCGTCTCTATATCCAGAGATCGTCAGCTGGGCCTCACCCGACTCGTTCAACCAGGAAATGGACCGAACGTCCAATCTTCAGAGCTGATCCGGTGGCACACCGCACCATAAAGGCGGGGCGGATTCTTCTGACTTACCGGCAAAGCTGTGCCGGGAGGTTTCCGCTGAGTCATCAAGACGAATCTAGGACGTAGGCACGTTGTATGCTCAGAACCGGAGTTCGCACAAAAACACGAGGAATCGAGAGACGCCCGCAAGTAGCTCTCCCACCATCTCCTCGTTATTCGTAATCGAAACGCGAGACCCGATCCACGCGCGACGACAAATCGACACGTTCGGACAAACTTTCTGTCCGCTCACCGAGCCTGGTGGTGGTAATAAAGCGCAGACTTCGTTAACCCAGAAAGCGGCGCCTCAGAAAAAACGACTTCACGTCGCGAAATTCGGCGTACACAGACTGAGTGAGCGATGAGCGTACAATCTACCAGACCACAATTCTCGAGCGTGTCCTGCGAGGAAACTGTGTGGCCAAGCAATATCTATTGCATGCGGAGAATGCCAGCGGACGGGAAACTTCAGCGTTGAGCTTGAGTGCTTCTTGGGATGGCCGATCGATATAGGTCTGTCGCTTCGGAGAATAAGGCGTTCCTCGGAAGACAAGCTTCTGCTCCATGGCGATGATGACCGGAGTGCTGGTAATTTACGACTCCTCTTGAGTCCCAAGCTCGACACAGGCTAGACTTGATCGACTTTCCGCGGACGGTCCCTGGAGATATCCGCCCTGATACGTATTCGCGAATTCATCTTTGGTAAGCCCCAACACCGTACGACACCTTCAACCCTAAATCCTGTGAGCATCCTCGGGGCTTTCCATTACACGCTCGAGAGAGAGGGATTTCGATGAATTGATTTGGAAGCTTTGGCTGGAATTTCCCTTCGTCACAAAAATTCGCTACGAATAATCAGTTCGAAGATTCGGAGGTCCTGCATCGCAGGTGCTGCAGCGATAGAGGCCTAATATGCTCCCGAAACGAGCTCGAAAGTGCACTTCGAGTATCATCCTTTTTATCAAGAATATTTCTTTCTTGGGGAAGCGCTCCAAGCCGCGCTGCTCAATTCCGGGGGAAAAGAGTCGCGACATTCTCAAAAACACGTCAGGGATCTTTCATTGAGCGGAAAACGAAAGTGGCTCAAGCGAAGTTTTTGACGCAGAGCTCTTGCCTTTCTTAGATGGCTCATGCGCGGGCCCCGGCTTCGGTCAGCTTCTTCTGCTCGCGTTTCTGGGTCGCGCGGGCAGCCCGTTCTGTGCGGATGCCGAACGCTAGATATCGTCACAGATTATTTCCGGATGGCTCCTGAGTCAGAGCCCATCGATGGAGCCAGGGAGACTCTGATCGACGGGAGACTTCAGACGTACGGAGATTTGCCGTGTTGTGGATTGCAACGCCAACGATCGAGGGTGGACGACTCAGTCAAGCGCAGGGATCTGTGGAAACGATCGACCGGGAAAAGCAGAGCGGATAATTCTGACGAGCTCGACCGCCGCTTCAACAATGGCCACGCTCTCCATCAATCCTCGGAAATCAGGAAGGGCAATCCTCGACGTAAATCAACTCTTATTTTCCATGATTTGTGTCATTATCACTGCGATCTCACCTTCTGGACCCTTTTCATTTCTGTCATAGAAGGAGCGACGAACCATCCAAATGCCCCAGAATCATATCGCAGGGGCGATCAAGATCATGTGTCGAAAGAGAAGCCCGACGAGCGAATCGCAGCTCGCGAAACCATGACATCGGGGCGATAATTCAGCCATCAGGGAGTGTTCAACATGGCAATCGTGGGCTAGAGAAATTCGCCTCCTTGCCGGCTAGAACTATATCTCGGATCAGAGCTTCGCTGTCGCGAGG